TCTTGCTGAAGTAGGGGCATTGGAGCAATGGCATAGCGGTTAAAACGTTAGAATTAACTGTGATGGCAATGCATGTGACACATCCCAGGTTCCAATCCCATGCCCATCACCTCACATCCGGTATTAAATTGAGTAGACCATGCCGAACTGGAAATATTCTAGACCTTCCAAATAATAGTGGTTTCTTACGAATCGTTAGATATCAATAGCCGCTTGTACTTGGCCTTGACTTTATTTTATACTTACAGCTTTGCGAAAACATAAACCAATTACTGATAATCCTCCCAATGGTTTTAATTGATGCTGAAATAACCAGAATTTGAAACATATTGACATATTCATAAAATTCAATCTATGTTGTTACTTGGGATACATTACATTCTCATATTCATTCACAGTCTATGAGATTGCGCAATCACATGATCCTGGGCCCTCATCAGTTACCAGTCCTGATTAGGTATGGAATAATCAATCATTCAATGGTTCCAGATATATACTTAAACGACGAACGAAATGGCAATCGGCCTGCGATTATGTGAACTCCAAATCCTCTCATTCATCAGGGCTGTGAAGCCAAGAAAGGCTTACAACTGACTATAAGCTCTGAGCTATATATAAAAAAAATTCGGTGCTCCCGAGGTATGTGCACCAAGATGGCTCACAACCTCAACATGGTATGTGTTAGGGTTATCAGGTGCGCCATCTTGGCGCACATACTTCGGGAGAACAAAAAAATCTGTCTATTTTGTGTAATAAGAACTTTACCCCATTTATTCAAAGTTTCAGCATTGACTTATTCAGTAACGATGACAAACCTCCAAATACAAAATCAACTTGTTTTGCAGATTGAATTCTTGGATCTGAGTTGGAACGATGCCAGCAAATTTGGAGGTGAAGGATTATCTACAATCAGTGAAATTGTTCATCAATGTCAGGTTGAAACATTGAGGATGCAACATTGCTACTTCAGCAATGATCAGTTGGAAAGATTCAAAGCATTGATTGCTGATACCGGAGTTCAGTTCACAGACAGTGAATGTGACAATCAGGCTTGAAATCAGTGGGAACAATTCAAATCATTTGATAGCAAGGCTGATTTAAGTTTTTAAGGTTTTTTATAATATGAGAGGGAAAGCTGATGAGGTGGTTTAATTTATTATATGAAGTAACCAGAGATGACAGTAAGGAATCCAGCAATACTCTCACATATAATTACCTAACGAGGGATTCGAATTTGCGAACGAGCAGGGTAATTAAATGTGCAATGTCAAGTAACACTTGAGACAGCGGTTACCAACTGGGGGGGCCCGTGGCCCCTTGAGGGGGCCACAGAGTAGTTAGAAGGGGGCCAGAATGTTAGGCGCTAAACTGATTTTCCTTTTACAATTAGAAAACTCATCGTTTTTCCCAGTTTCATGTTTTCACTTTGTTGACCATGAAATGTCAATGAAATGAAGCTAATGGGATTCGGAATCTGCCAATAAAAGTAATGCTATTAATACTACTATAAAGACATACAGAGGGCCACGAGTGCTAAAAGCCTCCGGAAGGGGGCCACGAGCCATGAAAGGTGGGGAAGCACTGGCTTAGGACAATAAGCCATACCGTCGAGCATAATGATACTTTCTCTATTTAACGCATATGCGAGAGAAGTTGTTGAGGTGGCTCAATGATATGACGAACCTCAAAGTCCATTCAGTTACTATTCCACACTTTGTATGGGGATGACCAAACAGTTTCAGATACCTGGGCTTGGATAAGAACGCCTAAACCAACCAGAGGTGACATCACACATCCTGCGACAACAAGGAGTCTAGTGATTCTCTCACACATAGTTGTACCTCGCCAGATTCAAACTTGTGAACCCTGCACAAATCGGAATTGTTTTCTTTACATACATTATTACCCCATTACATAAACTTTAAAAGTATAATTATTTTTGTATATTTTAGTTATTATGCAATATTATGTATATTTTGGATTTTCATTTATTGGAGTAAAGTTTTTTTTGCCCTATTTCTGATATTGGATGTTTCTAATAAGTTATTCTATTAATTTTGGAATTTTCTGACTTCAGTATGAAATAGTATTTTCATATTTATTACGGGGTAGAGAAAAGCCGATAAGACGGCTTAATCATATGGTGAACCACGGTCTCTTGTTCGGTTATCAGTCCATGTCGGATATACAGGCCCGGATCATGCCTTTTAGATACCCTAAGCACTTACGATTTTGGTGCCCTATGTATAAAATATTATAACAATGAAACTGGTGTTATGTGTTATTTGAATGTTTAAGTTTCAATTCAATATAATCATTACTAAGTGAGAGCAAGTCACGAATAATTTACAACAGTTCTCATACTTACAAACATGGATAGAGGTTTAAGATGAGACTTGAGAACTTTAATTTAACTGGGTGAATATAGAGGTCTTCGTTTCATTGAGCACCATAGCACAATTGAAAAATTGTTTACGGAAATATCTGTGGTGTTCCCTTTCCCTTGGTTCCGTAAGCATGTGCTTATTTTGCTTAATGGCTAATCTAGCATCGCAGATTTCTTTTCATTCAATTATTTAAGCTGTGTGGGATGGATTTTCATTGTTTTAATGCTTTGTAGTTGATAATGCATTTTTATTCGGAAAGTGTGCACACCATGTTTAATCAAGGTATATATGATCCTATATAGTAGTTTTCGTATTTTTGTGTAAAACTTTTATTTCAATAAACCTAGAGTTGGAAAACTTGCCTTGTATGGAGTTTATCATGTTGGTTGTCTTGCTATATGATTAGCGTTTTCAGATGGAAAAGGATAGGATTTACATATTTATCGCGGGGGATAGGAAGGCCGATAAGACGGCTCAATCATATGGCGAACCACGGCCCCTCGTCCGGTAAGCCGTCTCCCTCTGGATAAATTTTGAACCACCATCCTAATTACGTAAAATTTAAACAAGCTACCCATGTAAGCCGGCTTAGACGATTATTTTAGTGAGATTCTGGGACTCCTCGTACAGCTAGGATAGTTATTCCACATATTACTCTGTTAGATTCTTTGGGGGGAGACAATATTTAAGCTAAGCATTATCGACAGACAGAAAAGGATTACATACTGAAGACTTCATTCAAAGAGAATGAAAGGTTTTTTAAAAACTCATATTTTTAATTGTAAAATATTTCAGACTCTTTATTGAAATTCTTTCCTTCAAGCCTAGAAAACCAAAAACCAGCTTAAAAAGCAATTATTTCCTTGTAATTTATTGTTTTTCTATCAAAATTCAGTTTTTCCAATTCTAAAATTTCTCAATCTGGAGAGTTTTTTTATTAAACAGGTTGGTTGGTTTTCAAGACTGGAGTGAAATTTTCTAGAATCAACAGTGTTCCCCCCTCCTCGGACCAAAGTCATGCCCAGATTGGAAGTATGCTTCTTTAACCGAGGTTCCACAAACTATGACGCTTTTTTATGAGTATTACGTTTGCTTTTAAATATATATCTATAGTTTATACAATTCTTTTTACAGTCTTACAAGCATTGCAGAAGGGGTTCCTAATTCTCTGGAATGTTTCTTAGGAATTCCGCGCCACAAAATAATTCGTAAACTAATGGGAAAGAGCAGGGGTGGCCAACTTGTTTTCTACCACGACCTACTAAAATCTTCAAAATAGCTCGTGATCGACTGATCGGTAACAAGGTCACACTCAAAAACGATTTGGAACCACTGGTCTATATTATTACTATATATATATATATATATATATATATATATATATATGTGTAACCATTAATAAACTGGCAACATATTATTGATCATTTTTTGCCAGTATCACCGGTAGGTTTTCTTTTGTAAGCATTTATATTTTATACAATTTCCTTTTTATCAATCAAATGTTTTTTTGCACAAGACCAATAAACAATTGCACTGGGGTTTATTGAAACCCGAAAATGTTTTATTTGGGATCCACCAAGAAAGTTGAAAACCAATGCACTATATTAGTTAATGAGAAAGCAATATTGCAATGATGAAATATGATAAATAAACGAACAATTGCATAAAATTGAAGAAGTTTAGCGACGTATAACATTTTATGATCATGGAAGCATACCTAGCAGCCAGACTTTTCAATTCGAATTCAAATTGTGTATGGCAGCTTGCACAAAATTCTGCCAAATCTGAGACAAGTATACAATTGTTCATTAAAGCATATCTAGCAGCCAGAATTTTCAATAAAATTCCAATTTGATTTGTGTATGGTTACTCATGAAAGATTCTGTCAGATATCTGATGATTTCGTTACATGCACAGCTCTAAGGAATCACTGAAACGAACGATCACATCAGAAATTCTTTTAATTTGATATCAGATCCTTGGGTACTCCCGTAGTATGTGTACCAGGTTAGGGTTAGGCCATAATTTTATTCTGGTTTACCTTATTTTAGTTCTATTACGAGTCAGGGATTGTCTGTGTTAGTCAAGTGAATATACTCCCTGTCCATAAGGTCTCTTTTCTTTTACACAACTTGATGTGAAGTAGACAAACAAAACTAGTTACCTTCATATTGGTATATATACTTCTGGAGCTGCTCAATGACTCAATAACCAGCTTTGGTTCCCTTCATATCTTAGATAAATGATGACAGGGGTTTCACTCTAGTCTAGTCTCACCCACATTGCAGTCTCCTAGAGCTGAACAATTACACCACCCTCTAGCAAAGGGATAGGCAACTTCTCATCGGCGGGCCAGATGTGGGAAAATGAAGTTGTCGTTGAGCCGAATTATTACAAAATATACTTCGTCATCCAATCTTTGTTAAATGGTCGACGCTCTGTTAACTTTGTTTCTTGGGATATTCCATGGTTAATAAAACTTAATAGAAAATCTAATTTCTGAAATCAATTTATATTCAGAATATAAATCTAACTGATAACAGTAGTGGGGAATGTTTACAACGCTCTGTTTTGACCTTATATTGTTTGTTTAACAAGTGTGCTAACGCAATTGTTTGTTCACTAAGGCAACTGTTTATTTCACCAGCTCGCACTGACAGTGCGGTGAGAGTAGAGCGATCGGCAACTTTCATGAATGATGCGTCGGACCACATAACAGAGTGTGGTTGGATGCAGTCAGCGGGCCGTTCAAAATCCCGGGACCGGCCCGCGGGCCGTATGTTGCCCACCCCTGCTCTAGCACCTCTATTGCACAGAATTTTTTTTTACGACACCCACTATTATAATAAAGAAGTCTCTTCAAATTCCAAGTTACTTTCATCGTTATTGGGATTATTCAAGGGCGTGTAACCTTCTTTCGAATGCGACTGCTTGTTCTTGAAAGTTTGAACTAAATTTTTTAATGAAGGCATTTTCGATTTCCTCTTGGTTTTAATTCTGTTATTTCCCATTGAAAAAGGCTTAGTTTTGCGCTTAGGACTGGAACGGATGCCTTTTAATGCAATTTTATTGGCATCTGCTTCAGTAGTTTGATGATTACTGAGAGAGATGCCTTGTAGTGGTATGAAATTTGCATCCGCCTCAGTATCTTCTTCTTGATCGAGAGGGATGCTATCCAATGGAACATTTTTTGCTTTCTTGTGATTGTCATGGTGATCGTAGCCTCCAGTACAGCCAGATTTTAGTAATAATAAATAAACGTTGAAAGCGAGACTCAATACAAGAGCTCCAACTGTTGTACACATGATCGCCATCCAGTGGCTGAACAATAAAAAAAAAATTTGAATATCTAAATAATTTTAACGTTTCAGCTTCATTAAATAAATAATTTAAATCTTAGTAGAAAATACGAAGAGATGGCAAAAATTGCATTCAAGAAATCAAAAAAGAGGTTTTAAATGAAAAATGAAACAAAATATTGGAATGAAGAGCAAATGAGAGTTGTGGATGAAAATTTCTTGTATCTGAAGCAAATAACAGACTAATCCCATATCTGACATGGACTGGTAATTGCACGAAAGACCATGGTTTTGCCATATTATTAAGTCGTCTTATTGACTCCTCTTCTAAGCCTTGAAGACATTTTAGTTACCTTGTGCAATTCAATTCAGCATGTCATAGAAATGACCTAGAGCAGTGGTTCCCAACCTTTTATGGCTCGTGACCCCCCCTCCCCCCCCTCCCAGAGGCTTTTCGCACCCATAATTCCAGTGGTGTTTAGAGTGTTATTTTGATTGGTAGATTTCAAATCTCATTATGTTCAATTGATTTATGCTCAACCAAGCAAAAACAGCCTGTGAAATAACCTAATCAATCAAATAGGATGAGCGAGGAGTCCTTTAGTAAAGTGGGAGATAAAATCAGTTTTGCGTTTAGCATTGTGGCCCTCTTCAACTGATGTGTGGCCCACTTCGGGAGGGGGGAAACCGGGGCTTCGGTTAGGAACCGTTGGCCCAGAGTGTATTTTCAAATTATGCAATGGCTGTTGCAGAACTGTTGATTTGGGAAAGCTTTAAACTGAAACCATATTTTCAAACAAAGGTGAAATTATCAAAGCCGTTGAATTCGGGATTCCTGAATTTCATAGCAGAAAATAAAATAAAAATTATATTAAAACTCAAATGGCAAAGCTCTAGGCCATTTCTATTCTATAGCATCCTATCAAAGAAGTCTTGAGCATCGCAAAGTTTTTGTATTACAATTTGTCAAAAGTTCTCTGAACCTTCTTTGGGAGCTGAATATATAGGGTGTCCCTAAAGTCTTTTGTTTTGGCCCTCACAGATGTATTAAATGAAGTAAAAATATTGATTGGAAAACAAAAAACCTGGTTAAGATATACTGAGAATTGACTTAATACCAAAATTGAAATTGTGAAAGGACTTGGACACCCTGTATGTTTTTTCAGACTCGAAAAGCCTGTACGGAGCCTTGTTCAGGGTACACAGCATTAAATTTCCACAAATTACTCACAATTCCATGAAATCTTTTGTTTTCTGAATCTTTTCTGATTTTCTTCGTTGCTTTGTGATCAGACATTGAGCAACTGTGAAATCGTGTGTTTATGAGTTTTTTAACAGCAAACAAGACGTTGCACAGAAAGTCTTGGCATAAAAGAAACTGCTATTCTTCGATGCCTGAGGTTGAGTTGAGCTGTTTACATTTCAGTGGCTGCTTACACAGAGCACTGTCATAACCAAAAATGGAACCGGGTGTCGGAACATTGTCGCACAATGCTGCTTTTCCAGACCCTTGTTCATTGCAAAACGTAGAAAATAAGAAAATACAACAAATTATATAAATAAACTTTCATTGTATGTAAGTGTATAAATATGTAGGTGTGTGTATGTGTGTAAATATGTGGTGTGTGTACGTGTATGGATATGTAGGTGTGTGTATGTGTGTAAATATGTGGTGTGTGTATGTGTATCAATATGTAGGTGTGTGTATGTGTGTAAATATGTGGTGTGTGTATGTGTATGGATATGTAGGTGTGTGTATGTGTGTAAATATGTGGTGTGTGTATGTGTATCAATATGTAGGTGTGTGTATGTGTGTAAATATGTGGTGTGTGTATGTGTATGGATATGTAGGTGTGTGTATGTGTGTAAATATGTGGTGTGTGTATGTGTATCAATATGTAGGTGTGTGTATGTGTATCAATATGTAGGTGTGTGTATGTGTATGGATATGTAGGTGTGTGTATGTGTGTAAATATGTGGTGTGTGTATGTGTATCAATATGTAGGTGTGTGTATGTGTGTAAATATGTGGTGTGTGTATGTGTATGGATATGTAGGTGTGTGTATGTGTGTAAATATGTGGTGTGTGTATGTGTATAAATATGTAGGTGTGTGCATGTGTGTAAATATGTGGTGTGTGTATGTGTATCAATATGTAGGTGTGTGTATGTGTATATGCTGCAGTAAAAATAAAAAAAATCGACTTCACAACTTATTTATGGGGGTAAAAAAAAGTCTTAAGTATCCATAAAACAATATGATGAATGATGATAAAAAACGGTGCATTATGTGGAACTATTACCAACCAAAGTTACGTCCAACTAACGTCTAAGGTTTCCCGAATACAGAACAACATTGACCCCTGAATATTTCCGATCCTGAATTTACAAAAAAAAAAAGGGTTTCTTTCATCAATTCGGCGCTCAGAAGTATGTGTACGAATAAGGCAGTAACTAATTTTGTTTGCCTACTTTACATCAAGTTGTGTGGAGGGACTGAAACCTATGGGCAGAGGGATATTCACTTGGCTAACACAGACAGTCCCCAAACTTGGATACTCTCGAAGTATGTGAACCAAGATGGCGGACACCAGAATATAGTATGTATACCAGATTAGGGTTAGGCCATATTTTTTTCAATTTTCCTTCTATTACAAGTTCGGTGACTAGCCAGGTGACTCCCATGGTATTTGTACCTGAAATTATGGCCTAACCCCAACTTGGTACGTACACATACAACATTCCGGTGTCTGCCATCTTAGTGCCATACTTCTGGAGTACCCTAAATTATTATAAATCCTCCCAGTTTGCCATTCCGGCCTTGAAATGTCACAATAAAAACACAGAACACTCATATTAGATATTTCACCTCATCTAATGTATTGTTCCCCTGCCTTAAACACTCGAAATATAATATCCAAACTTACCATTAATGCTAGCATACTTTTCTAGATTATAAGATGTGTCATTCCTGCAAACACCTGATGCAGGGTCACACGTACATGTATTGGCACAGTGGCACGTATACTGACAATTGCTGCCATAGGTACCCGGGCTCACAACCTAAAAATATATAGAAAAAGGGTGTTAGAGGTAGCCAGTCACTTAAAATATAAATTTTGTACCTTTTTTATACAATGTCTCTGTTCGCTAGGCACGAGGCCCTATATACAAGCAGCCAATGATGTGCAAAGATCTTACTGTTAAGAATAAGCGGGAATCATTCTGGCTCTGTATTGCTACCCCAGGGGTGCGCAAATTGAGGCCAACAAAGAAAATTTTTAATTTAGTTTAATCTGATATGTTCGAGTAATTTCAATCCCTTTGTGTTGCAAAGCCTATACCTGCGTCCAATTTACTACCTATGGCGAAACAATAACAGCTAGCTAACAACCAATTCAAAGCAATTGGTCCCGTACTAATGGAGAAAAGCGCTTGTTTCAATACAACAAGAATTCTAATAACAACAAAAGAATACTAAAACGATCCATAGGTTCAGTTTGCGCCTAAAAATACCTTTTTCACATAACGCTCCTCCAAATCCTGGACGGCAAGTGCAGATCCCTGTGACGCTGTTGCAAGTTCCATTATTTCTACATCGGCACTCCTGAGAGCAATTCTTTCCAAAGTGAGTCGGACCGCAGGGGATGGTGCAGTCAGTACCATGCCACCCAGGAGAGCAGTCACAGCCTTCTAAAATCAGGAAATAAAAAATACTAAAATTGAGTCAAGCTAAGCTCGACAGTGCGGCGCTAAGTGTTAAAATTACGCTTTCCACCGCACCCTGATTACCCTGCATGCTTTCGCAGATTTCAATCCTGTGGGACCATTGAGTCACAAATCAGAAAAAAAAATAATAATTGCCCACCCATGAGCGCAGTCGCAGCCATCTGGGATAAGAATGCAGGGGGAAATGATGAACTGAAGTCAATTTAATTAAATTCTCTTTCCTCTAGAACAGTGCTCTCACATATTTTTGACTTGCCGCATGCGGCTCTTATACTAAAAAATTGGGGCTCCCAAAGTATGCGAACCAAGATGCGGACATCGGAATGTAATATGTGTACTAGGTTAGGGTTAGGCCATAATTTTAGGTATAAATACTACGGGAGGCTCTTGTCTAGTCTTCGAACTGATAATAGGACTAAAATAAGGAAAATTGGAAAAAAATTATCGCCTAACCCTAACCTGTTCCCCATGTTACGTTTCGATGTCCGCCATCTTGGTTCGCATACTTCGGGAGCACCAAAAAATTTTGCCCCACCCCTGCTGTATAGGATACAATTTATATAATTATCTCGTCTGGTTACCAGTCAATGTCGGGTATGAGATTAGTTAGCCAGTTATTTGTTGTCAGATACATGGACTTCATGGTGGAGGAAGCCGTAATCGACCAGGGGTCATGTGAACGCAAATAACTAACCCCGCATGGGATTCGAACCTGCAAACCCCTGCAGCCTAATCAGAGGTGGAGAGCATATTCCTAGCATGATGTGCCACACCACTGAGCCATTGTAAAAAAGCTGTAGAAAAGTTTGTAAAAAAGTACCTGGCTGGCACGATCCATGTGAAGAACAGTTATGGTGGCCGCAATACAACTTTTCACATGACTCGCCTCTGTAGTTCACAGAACAAGAACATCTTGAAAAAGGAGTTAAATTCTATGAAACAGTTTTATGTCTTTGTTTACAACAAAGCCATAGACTAGTGGTTCTCAACTGCGAGGTGTACCCCACAAGAGGGCTAAAGACAATTTTGCCGAGATGATAATTGAAATAAAAATATTTGGATTTTTATTATTATTATACTTATTTTGAATATTTATATTCCATCCTCTTATTTTAAACAGATTTTTTCAATAAAACATACTTTCGCCTTACTATCTGCTGTTTGTAGCTTATTATTAGCTAGTTATTTTTGAAGTGGGATGCAAGACTTGAAAAAATATGGAAAAGCTTATTAATAAGTTCAACAACCACTGCTCTAGTCAATATTATATATATGTAAGGAGCTATGGTATTTCAAAAGGTTTCAAAATAGCCATTGATATATAATCCTGTGGGGAATAATTATGTGCCAGAGGATTCGATTACCACTATGTGCCACTGTAGGTTCACGCAACCGCTGATCGGTTACCGCTTCCTCCACTATCAAGTCCATGCATCTGAAACAGCTGGCCCACTAGGCGGCTCAACTCAACTGGTAAGAAGATGAGAAATCTTCTTATTGGCTTTCTTCTCCCTGGCATGAATATGAAAGTTCTATACTATTCAGCTAAGGAATGGAATTAATCGCAAAAATATTCAAGTGCAGACTCACATTCCATGGATACACTCCCCATGCACACACTCTGTTTCACAATCGGGATCGTGAGCGCAGACAATTGTTGTAACCGCTCGAGCGCATCGCCACTCGGGGTCACTCTTGCAATGATCGGATGGATAACTCGCCAATGAACCATTGAGAACCAACGTTGCTGAACCGCCTCCATCCAAATTTATTGCATTCACAAGATGGAATTCTTTGATCAGCAATCTGGAAAAAAAAGTGGTTACTAACAATTTTCACTCATTCAGTATTGCAGTAATACATATTTATGCAAACATTTTAAACTAAATATTTCAACTGTACGGAGGATTTCAAATTGTGATCGTTTGACTGAAAAATACTTCAAGAAAGTTGTTGAGATTATGATTAAATTTAGTTTTTGCATGAGTCCTATTATTTTCTACTTTTGCTTTTGTAACGCTGTAATTATTGTTCATTAAATGTAACATTTTACACCATCTTTACATGACCCGCCCCTCTAGGTGCCCTAATTTTTTGACCCCTGGTTCTAGTGCAGGGGTAGGCACGGATTTTGGAAAAGGGGGCAAAAATATTGCCCACCTAGACTGGCATGTAAGTGCGACGTAAAAAGATATAATATATGAACAATATTTACAGTGTTACAAAGCAAAGGTGATAAACAATATGTCTTGCCAAAACTGAATTTATCGCAATCTGAACAAATTCCTTGAGCTATTTTTAGCTGAAACATCAAAACTTGATTTGAGTTTGGCTGCGGCAGCATCAGGCGGGCAAGATTGAATTACTAAACGGGCCGGAATTGGCCCGCGGGCCGTACTTTGCCCATGTCTGTTCTAGAGTATCGTTAGTTGACAGGGTTGTGAGTAATTCTAGCTTAAGATTTGCTAAAATTGAACAAATGGAAACGCAGAGTTTTTATGTTGAGAAGGAATGAAGAGTTTCAAAATAAGCAAAGAGAGAAATGCATCGAAAAAGTTTGGAAATCACTTCAAGGCATTAAATATTAACCTCAGCTCTCAGAGTCTCATGTGGCTCTCAACTATTCTTCCTGCGGCTCTCATTATCCTTTAGAACTTATTCATTTTCAGTGAAAAATTTCATTGAAAATTAATCTAGGGCTTAAAAATTGAAAGACTGAACTCCGGTAGTTGAATCGTTTGAATTTTTGTTCTGAAATTCAGTACATTAAATTCACAGAATTTCAAGACATCAGCGAACCGGTTAGCATTACTGAAAAAAACATGACTTTTAGTAATAGAACCGGCTGACAAAAAATTTGAATCCCACAACTGGACACATGGTGTCGCTATTGAGTCAAAGAGAAGAATAAACAACCCAGATCGATAAGTTGGCGTTCTCTGATCGCTATCTTGTTATTTTAATTTGCGATATTTTTTCTGCGGTTCCTTACAACTTTAAAAGATTGAGATGCGGCTCTGACAATCAAAAAGGTTGAGATCCACTGCTTTGGGGTTTCGCTTGTTCAAAGCAACAAAGCATAGATCGCAGTCACCTTGCAAATTGGTTGAGGTTGAGACCTCTGACTTTGGTTTGACCTTCAGTATTGACGAAAACAACTCTTCCTAAAGCATCGTGTCCGATCGCTGTCCGTGCTGATTGAACATCAATGAAAGTTCTAAAATCAAAAGGAACGATTGCGACTTAATAAGAACGAATCTTTAAGAAGCTGCTTCAAGAAATTTTTTTAATTCTTACTTTCGGTTTCTATTTTTGAAATAATTTGGTATAGATTGCTTCGAAGTATAATCATTTATAGACCAGCCTAAAAAACTATTTCTGTGTAATATTTGAAAAAAAAATTATGAGAACAGCCACTCATGTATCTGGGGCTATTCAAGAAGAGCAAAGGTGGTGATTTACTTTCCTGAATGGGCTCGTTCTAGATAAGACTTGCTCACTAGGTTGTAAGCCCCATATGAAACTATAAATGAAAAATGGTTATTGACAAAAAAACTAGAGTAACAACTAATGTACAACGACATGTATTGCACCAAGTGACAGATTGATTGAAGGGTCTGACATCGCCCACTCCATGCATCCAAAAGCTTGTCAGGCTCAAAGCTGCTTGTGCTGATTTCTCAGATGGCTCGGAGGTTTGAATACTTTGGGGAGATCTGTTTTTGCTTTTGTTAATAATTTTCATGTCTCAGGATATTAATTCTGATGGGTGACTTTGAGGTATATGTGGCTCGTAAAAACTATGGTCGTAATTTCAGAAGGCACAAGTGGGCCGGATGAAATACTTAAATGGGCTGTAATTTGCCCATCCTAATATCTAACCTGAGGGTACCAGTCTCCTGTACGTCAGCACTTTCACAATTGAATGATTCTTCTACATACGGTGAACCTGGGATAAATGAAAAGATAAGATCAATCATGCCTCATAGCCATAGCTAGATAACTAGGATAACATATAAGATAACATATAACTCATATATATAGCTAAGTAGATAAGAACGATAAGATAACACAAATAAACTGGATATATTTCAGTTATGATAATATTTGTTTTATATTCATAACTAGGTATATTTCAGATAAGAAAGCTAAGACAACATGAGTGCCATCGAATAAAAAAGTCTCTAGCATAATTTGGTTCTCTCCGAGTTCAGAGCTGGAGTCAAGTTCATATCTTCCTCAAGTCAAAAGCTGAAATCGGAATTTTTGTCAACTGGGGACTGGGGTAAAGAGCCGTATTTTAAATGATTTTTTGAGTTTGAGTTCTGAGTTTGAATTATTTCAGACTCCAGCCTGATTAGCAAAGAAAAGTCGATTTTTAAAAAATGCGTGACCAAATAAACTCGACTAGACGCATGGTGCTCAGGTGCACCTCTGATTACGCTGTCCGGATTCGCTAGTCGAAACTTGTGGGAAATTGCGGATAATGCGAGGGGGCTGCTGAACTCTTCTGCGATATTTGAAATTTTATAAGCTAATTCCTACCATTTCTCACAAGCCAAACAGCTCCACCAATCAGTTGCTCGAAATCCATTTTTTCAATATCTTCAGAAGTTATGTATCTAAAAAAATATACATGTTAAAATTGAACAAAGGCATAAAGAATTTTTTTTTATCTTAATAATAACGATGGGTGGATATTCCCTTAACCAGTGGTCCATAAACAGTGGGGTGCATCCCACTATGGGAGCAAAGCCATTTTTGGGGGAGGTGGAAGTAAATAAAAATAAAACAAATTGTTAGCTTTGATCTTGCCTGCCTTATTTTGAATAATTACATTTCTTTATTATATAGCCTACACATAATTTCAACATGCTTTTGAATAAAACATACTTTCGCCTTTTTTGTAGAATATTTTTAGCTAGTTATTCTTGAGGTGGGGTGCGAAATTTTACAAAATCTGAAAAAGGGAACAGCCTAAAAAGTTTGAGAACTACTGCTCTAACCCCATGTTGCAAGTCGAGCCAAGTGTTAGCTCAGTGTCTACTTGGGTCCGAAGTCAAGTAAAATTTTACTGCGATTAGTTGCTGAATAATTTTATTTAAAATTCCCAGCCAACTTTTTCAGCAGATAATTATTTTCATCCATGGCTATTCACAGGGTTTAAGAATATAAAATATAAGTTTTACTCATTTTTCCAAACAGCTAAATCATCGCATTTAATTTCTGGTCACTTAACGAGCCCTCACATTGAATTTTAAAAACCTGGGGATATAAATTGGCTCTAGAACCGATGACCATGTTCTGCCGACCCTTGTACCCACGTGTATGACAACCAATTACAGACCAAGTGCTGCTTCGAGTGTGTGCTTGCTCTTATCATAAGAACTTGGCAGGGTTCGAGTTGTAGCTGTTGGAATCAAGTTAGCATAATGTCATTACGTTTGAGTGTGATCAGTGTGCGAATAAGCCTAATTTTAGTGAGATAGAGTTATGTATGTAATGACCCCTTAGTTTGGCAATTTTTTTTTTGATTTTCAATACGGCTTATATGTGAGATATACATTGGGTACTTTTTTAAATAGTATACTCACCCAACAACAATTGTTCCATTCTTAGTAATCCCGAAGTTAGCATTCTGTATGTTCCCATGGTCTATCACAAGCCTACCATCACTCACTAGATTACCCAGACAGCTGCCATACTTAATACTGAAGAATCCTCCATTCTGGGCCACCCTGCATTTCCTGAAAATGCAAAGTTTTTTAGTCAAGTATAGGCTTTTTATATTATTTCTGGAAGAAAAAATAAAGCCCAATAACATGGCCTAACCATATAATACAAGGAGATAGATAAAAGCCATTACAGGATAAAGTGGCTTATCATATGGTGTACCACGACCTCTAGTCCGGTTACCAGTCCAAGTCGGGTATGGGATTAGTTACTTGATTCAGATGCATTGACTTGGAGGAAACCACTGTGTAATGACGAAGAGAATAAAGCAACTTTACCACATAGTTTCATATTTATTCCGGAAAGAGGAAAATTGATAAGATGGCTTAATCGTATTGCTAGCCCATCGCCTCTTGCTGTAACCGACCAGCAGTTGGATGAACCATACGCTATGGCAAAGAGTCAAGCAATCTTCTTGCAAATGATTACCCCACACGAATCAAACCAAGATAGGTGTGATAGCCGGCGTATTCCTGACGCTTAACAAATACGCCAAACGTCAAGCTGATATAGATCATGGCTACTCGACTCACGGAATGCGGTCCAAATTCGAACGTCTTTTTCCACAGCTAATATATTCCAAATTTTCAGTCTCAAAGACAATTTGAGTTGCTAGGAAGCATTATTTTTTCAAATTTCCTAGGTCCTATGGGACCGAATAATTCACATTTTCCCACTAAAGTCATCTGTCGTTACCAATACATGATATTGATCACTTCTCCATTTTTTTAAACGACAAATTTTAAATTTTGTTTGATTAGTTGAAATATAATTTTTAGAATGAACGGACCGCGATAATTTTCAAGTTTTGTAAACAGACTTTTAGTGAAAATATTTGAGTAGCCCTGATAGAGAGTACCTAATCAAAAGATCAATAATCCTCATAACAACTTATAATTGATGATAAATTAATCCATGCATGTGTGGCATGATATTTAATAGTGCTGTCAGTAAACATGATGTTATAAGCTATTGACTGCCTAATTACATCTATTTTTGCCTGCGGATCAATATACAGGGTGTCCACAAAGTACCTTTACAATTTTAATTTTCTTCTGAAGTCAGTTCTCAATATATCCTAATCAGGTTTGTTGTTTTCCAATCATTAATTGTTCGAATATGTTTACTTTATTTAATACATCTGTGAGGAGCAAAAATATATATGGTATCGATACATTTCCCTTTGAAATTTCAAAATTCTCCAAGACTTTATGGACACCCTGTATATATAAAAAGCAAGGATACTGTAACAAGAGGACTCTTCTGCTAATTACTTATCCTTTCTAAATATCTTTCTATTTAACATCTGATAGTCAGAACAAAAATATTCATCATCTATATATAGGGATGGGCAACTCAGAATACTGAATGCGGAGGATCCGATAACATTATTCAGTTTTCACCTGTTAATATTTGTATTTCCGGTTTCTAAATTATTAATCAATGACTTTTGAGTATATTCTCCCACCCGAGTTTGGTTTTACTTGCGCTCACAAAGAACCAATAAAATCGGCAGACATCAAACTTGGCAACCTAGATGGTAAATTATTCTACATTGGCTATTCCATCTATATAATCTTTTCACAATCTAAATCCATGAAATCGCATGGCTTTGCACAATCAATCATTCGATTAGCAGATCTATTAATACCTAGAAATGCCATTAATTTGCTCATTTTCGGCCTAAATTTGATGAATAATTTGAAAATTCAAAAAAATGTTAGAACACAAAGAAGTACCGGTAGGTGCTTTTTGAGATGGTCATATTTTGAAGCAACATTTACCAAAGTTTTTTCAATAAAAAGTGAAACACGCTCAAAAATCAAAAATATAATTTCACTAATTTCTCAATCAGCGTTTACAAGTTTCACACTACTGAGTTAAAAGCCCTCAGTTATTTCTGCCACAGCCACCCACAATCTTACCTTTGCTTTGACGTGTTCTCCACTGTATCAGTGATATTATTTGAGCAGCCGCCTTGAGAGTGGGGTTCCAAGACGCTGAACGATCGCAGAGGGTTTGTAACTGTCGTTATGTGGCCGTACGCTTTCACAGTGATGTAGGAATAATACTCGTTAGACGGCACGTCAGATACAAAATATCTGAAAATATGAAACCATGAATTAGATCCGACGAGGTAGTGTGACAGGAGTGTGAAAGATTCCTGATCAACGGAGCTGACCGAAGTGAGTTTGACCACTTTGAAGAGAGTCAGAATGTCAACGCTAAGAATAGGATTCACATATTTATCCAGGGAGAGGAGGGGCGATAGGACTGCTTAATCATATGGTGAACCACGGTCTCTCGTCCGGTTACCAGTCCGTGTCAGGTATGAAATTAGTTAGACAGTTATTTTTTTTCGGAAGGATAGACTTGATGGTGGAGGAAGCTGTAACCCACCGGCGGTTACGTGAACCACCCTACGATGACGAGGAGTCCAGCAAATACCTATCTTCACATTGAATTCGAACGCGGATCCGTGTTGATTGCTGGACTACTCGCCATTTTGGATGGTTCACCTAACTGCTGATTGGTTACAGCGAAAGGCTGGTCATACGATGCCTGTACAGGGACTTGTTCGCAGCAAAAGTCGTGAAAGATTGTCATACAAAATATTGATTAGATTACTGACCTGGTATTAGCTGCTGGGACAAGTTGGTCGGTTACATTGGCAGTAAATGTCTCGTATGTTTGGTTATAACCTGGATTTTTCATGGTTGATCGAGCGTGACGACGATGCAATGAACCATGACGAGGTTGAGCATAAGGAAAGATAACATCATCAACTAATGACCTTTGAAAACAAAAATACATTTTCATATAAATATATTCAAAATGGTGAACGATGATCCTCTCAGTCAGTTAAACCGGTGACCAATTAATTGTTTCAAACAAATGCTGTTAGGACAGTAACAGTAATCAAGGAGAGCATAACTGAACATGCAATAATATCAGAATATCAAGAGATAAAGCAATTCTCTTACGCTTAACTATCCCAATTTCTGAATTCTGGAATTTACCAGGAGCGAATACCAGAAATAGACCAGCAGACACATTATGCTGTTCTGTCTTTACATTTCTGAGTGATGGTTCGGAACTTTTCTAAGAGATGGGTCTCCTTAAACTTCTGACCTTTGACAATTTGAGTGGATAGGATAGGATTTACATATTTATCCCGGGGGAGAGGAAAGTCGATGAGACGGCTTATCCATATGGCAAACCACGGCCTCTCGTCCGGTTACCATTCCAAGTCGGGTATGGGTTTAGTTATATTGTTTGTTTTCGGAAGCATGGACTTGGTGGTGGAGAAAGCCGTAACCAACCAACGGTTACGTGAACCACCCAACGACGGCGAGAAGTCCAGCAATCCTCTCGCACGTAACCATCCCTGCATGGCATTCAAACCTGCTAACCCACGCAGAGTAATTAGAGGTGCGGTGGCGAGCGTATTCCTAACGCCTAGCCCGTTGAGCAGAACCGCCGCGCCGAGTGAACACTCGTGACTTTGCTGAAAGGTCTGAAGGTCAGGAAAGTGAGTCTACTTTACTTTCAAGTGAGTACCAACAACTCTTCACGGAGATGAGTCTGCTCGTGTGAGTGAGATGATCTAGCTTTGACTCCACAAAAAAGTCTGTTTTAAAAAAATTAACTTACGGGCTTTTATCTCTTGCGTTCATTCCTGTGATCTCTAAGAACGAAATGATTTGAACAATAAAACACCATTTTCGTAACATATCCTTTCAAATACTATCATGCCATAATCCAAAACTCCAAGACTCCAACTTTTTACATTCGGCGCAGAATTGTAAAAACCTGCAATTTGAAATTATCAACACTGCAACAGGAGGCAATGCAGAAATAAAATGCCGAATTGCAAAACGAAATACAAGTGGTGAACGGAGTATAACTTATCGCATAATTATCCGCATACGGTCCTCAGTGACATATGAATTATCAATTTATATATTTATTGTCGAATAAATAGGTCGTTTACGGCTTCCTCAACCATCCAGGCTCTACTTTCAATCCAATCATCAGAGAACAAATAACTGAATAACAAAATAATCAAAATAATCGACTTAGCTGCCGGCTTCCAATTTATACGAATTCGAACTAATTTTGTGACAGAAGAAGCAACGCCCGAAACTAGTTTTGTGTTTTTATGTTTGTTGTTTACTTTTTAGCTTTATTTGTTTACAAAAAACAGCAGCTAATCAATTAGTTGTTATTATCGGTATTCGCATTTCGGCACAAGCACCGTCACATAGCTTTTAAATGTTTTTGTATTCTTCACGGCTTTCACTCATCAAAATTATTTACAACATTACAAGTAAGCTTCGACCATGAAATTTAATTTCTTGTGATCATGTACTCTGTTCATTAATTTATTTTAGTATACGGCGCGGGGTGTGGCTCAACGGGCTAAGCGTTAGGAATACGCTCGCCACCGCAACTCTAATTACTCTGCGTGGGTTCGCAGGTTCGAATCCCACGCAGGGATGGTTATGTGTTAGAGGATTGCTGGACTCCTCGCCGTCGTTGGGTGGTTCACGTAACCTCTGGTCGGTTACGGCTTCCTCCACCATCAAGTTCATGCTTCCGAAAAACAAACAATATATAACTAATCCCATACCCGAATTGGAATGGTAACCGGACGAGAGGCCGTGGTTCGCCATATGGATAAGCCGTCCTATCGGCTTTCCTCTCCCCCGGGATAAATATGTAAATCCTATCCTATCCTATGATTATCGTGATGTGTTTTCACTTGTGTGAGTGTGGGTTAATGGGCGCAAGCGCTGTTTACAGCGTTCGTTATAAACCTTCATATATTTTTTGTCCATTTTCCCGATCTTTCGGTAGCCCTTGTCTGTATTTTTTATTTATTTGTGTTTTGTGTTGTAGACGAAAGATCGAAATAAATTGTATTGTATTCAATGTATTGTATCAACAGGAGGCAATTCAGAAATAATATGCCGAATTGCAAAACGAAATACAAGTGGTGAACGAAGTATAATTTATTCTGTTCGGAGTATCCAGTAAAGTCCGATATATAAATTATCAATTTCTATAATTATTGTAGAGTAAATTAGTCGTTTACGGCTTCCTCCGGCATTCAGGCTACCAATCCATTCTTCTGGAAACAAATGACTGGCTAACTAATTCTATACCCGACGTGGACTGGTAACCGGACTAGAGGCCATGGTTCTCCACATAATCAAGCCGTCCTATCGAATTTACTTTCCTTCAAAAGAAATATGCAAATATGAGGCGGCGGTGTGGCTCATCGTGCTAAGGAATACGCTCGCCACCGCACCTCTAATTACTCTGGGTGGGTTCGCAGGTTCGAATCCCGTGCGAGGGTTATTATGTGCGAGAGGATTGCTGGACTCCTCGTCGCCTTAGGGTCGTTCACGTCACCGCTGGTCGGTTACGGCTTCCTCTACCATCAAGTCCATGCTCATCGGCTTCCCTGAAACAGGGATAAATATGTAAATCATATACTATCCTATGGCCGTTGGTAAATAGCAATGAGCATTAGCAATACGCTGGCAGACTGATTCAGACTGGGACTCTGATTCACCTGGAAGTTTTCGAATCACGTGGGAAGAAAATTATGCGCGAGAGTGGCCATGGTGTGTCATAGGATTAAGTCGTCGTATGAGGGTTGATTTCTTTCTGATTTAAACACACAGTATTGATTCGAGCTGTGATAAAAGTTATATTACTTTAAACCTAATTTCCAACTATTTTAAAGCTTGTGACGGGAAAAAAATTACATTTTATTCACCTCAAATTATGAAATACTTGATATGATATTTTAACGCTTGATAAAAAGGGTATTTGAGCTTTCTGTCGTAAACAATAACCATAATATTACAGATGAATGTCCGATGTAGCCATTGTGCTTCATTCTCCACATCAACCCTAACATTTTATTATTATTTTGTGTCAGAGTTCTGAATGCAGACGTGTAAAAATAATATTCGGAGAATAGGTTGTTATTGTTTTCAAAATTATCTTGCGTCGCAGATAATAGCGAATGGGGGAGTTTGACAAAATAACTTGGCTATCCCTAAACGAGGGAATTGCTGAAACACACTGGTAAATAACCACTGTATTTTATCTTGAACAGGAGGCCGTTAAGACGTTTTAATTGTAGATAAATTGGGAATCTTTTTATCTATCCAGAAAGAAAAGAAAACAGAAAATATGTTTCCATCAGTTGAGAAATCACGAACTTCTGTAAGCTTTGATTTCCTAGAAACCCCTTCCCTAAAAGAGATACACCCTACCGGTACCTAATGTCAAATACTGTACTCCTAACTTTGAGTACTAAATACTCCCACTTTCTTACTTACTTCATTATATGGCGTACCACGGCCCCTCGCCCGGGTACCGGTCTGTGTTGGGTATGGGATTTGATTTCTCAGTCACTTATTTCCAGGTGCACAGACTTGGTGGTGGAGAGAGCCGTGACTGATCAGCGGTTACGTGAACGGCGACGCGCAGTCCATAAATCCTATCGTACGTAATTATCGAGGGATATACGAACCTGCGAACCCAGGGATCGTAATTTTTCGGATACAGTATTCGGATTTTCGTTATCGACTCCTACAACCAAATTGAGAAAATACAAAAGCGGATATGAGACTTTAGTATCGCGATGCCAGAATGTCGCAATGACGAATAATACTTTTATTTCTGTGGCTATGACACCTTTAACCCTTTCCATGCGATTTTTATTTTTTATAAAATAATCGTATTTGCTACGCCGACTTTATGCATTTGTACCCCCACAACTAATCGATCGACTAACGAAAAAGTAATGATCCTCTGCTGCCCACTGACGGCTCGTTGGAAAGCTTATTTAAAGAGCTTGCAATTGGCGATTGAAAAAAAAAAATTTCTCAAAAGGGGTGGTCTGAGTCACAAACCGGATAGAAAAAAGGCATTGTTTTTTCTTGGGTGTTGAAACTTCAAGCCGTGATAAAAAATAGAAATATTCGCTAAATCCTTTACTGTTACCGCTTCTTGGTTGGCAAACAATAGCATATTATTGCTGTAGCAATTTCGTTATCTAACTCAAAATACTTTGGTAGATGGAAGGGATAATATGTCTTCTATTACCACCCAAAAATCACCGAAATTTGCATAAATTTCAAAAACACTCCCTCGTTCCGCCGCAAATAAAATTTCCATGGTGAACGAAAGCGAGATTTACCGTCGCTTATGTTAATCTCGAAGAAGACTTCTTATCAATAAACTAAAACCCGGAAAAACTAGACCAACAGTTTGCGACCGATAGCTAAATAAAACAGTGGAGTACATCAACGTACCCGCCGCAATCTAGCGAGTTTTGTCGTGGGTACGTATACGTGCCCACCGCACGGAAAGGGTTAAATGTGGATCAAATCATAAAAAAAACTTAACTGCGTTAAATGAAAACTATAATGAAACTGTTGTCGACACTATTGCTGTCTCAACAAGCGACAAACATCACGATACAGGTACAGGCAGACAAGTACTCCAGTACTGTATTCCTGTTGTGAATTCTGCAATTTTTATTTCATTTCTGAATTTTTTTTCTGATTTTATTCTGATCTGTTGTATTTAGAGTTTCTGAATGAATGTAGCCTACTACCTGTACCGGTAATTCATGTTGATGCTATTTACTAAAAATTCTGTTTTTATGAATAAAATTATGAAAAAATAACATGAACAAAGAACTGAAAAAAGATTTAAATACAGAGAGACTGACAGACTCAATGTCTACCTGAAATAGGGCAACATTGTAACTGCTGCAAGGTTCATTCCAATCCATGCATCTGAGTACCGTACGGTATGGCCATACCGGTACGCCCCCCATGAACCCACCACCGCACCTCTAATTACTCTGCGTGGGTTTGCAGGTTCGAATCCCATGCAGGGATGGTTATGTGCGAGAGGATTGCTGGACTCCTCGTCGTCGTTGGGTGGTTCACGTCGGTTACGGCTTCCTCCACCACCATGTCGATGCTTCCGAAAACAAACAATATACCTAATCCCATACCCGACTTGGAATGGTAACCGGACGAGAGGCCGTGGTTTGCCATATGGATAAGCCGTCTTATCGGCTTTTCTCTCCCCCGGGATAAATATGTAAATCCTATCAATATATATTGTTTTAGTAGGTAGACATAGATAGAGAGATGATACATTTCGAAAAAATGGAATATCTAAATATTGAACAAAAAAGAAAAATAACTAAATTGAAAAAAAGACAATCATTTCTGAATTTCATTGCAATTTAGGAGGAGTCGTAAAAAAACTATCCAGTCAAACTGTCAGTGACACCATGTGCAGGTGTTTGCTGCAAATGACATCGAATAATATTAAAAGACCTAATATGTATTAAATTACAAAATATCCTTCATTGAACTGTTTTATTTATTCCCGTACCTGAGCCAAGCCAAATGCTTGGACTTTCTCATAATATCCTTGACTGTCAATAGCAGCTTTCTATATTTGGGATGAACTGGCCTCCATATTGGCACTAATCCTCCATATTGACACAATAGACCCAAAATGGAGCTCAATCTGAAAATATGAAGGAGTCCTCGAAATAAAAATAATAAAGTGTTTCAAGCAAAAAAAAACGCAATTTTGGTCATGTGACGCTCTACGCACGTTGCAATTAATCTAAACTATAATTGAGATAAGCATGTCACAATCTGCCGGCGTGCCAGACACCCTCGTTTGGAAGACAAATAAAGTTTATTGAACCAAAGGCCGGAACATAGTGGGATCAGAGAACTGTGCACTACTGTATTTAGGATTATTGCAATACATATATTGTAAGCATTATAAATTAATCAAACTTTGCAAAAACCTGAGTGTATATCACCAGATAATGATCCATTAATGATTTAACAATAAGTAAAAAAAAACTTTTCAATTTAGAAATGGCCACAGTTTAATTATATTGCGACTTTTGAGCTTGAGTCATTTTTATTTCAAATCAGCTTTCCAGCCCCGAAAAATATTCATAAAAATGACTTCTTATTCATGCAGGAATAGGCTAATGCTCATAGTAGGGTTCAATGATAATCATCAATGACTCATTCGTTCTTCTAAATTTTGACCTTCGACATGGCTTCCGGAGGTAAAACAACCAAAGATATTCAGAACGATGACCCGAGCATTATTGAAACGTCGAAAGGAGGAAGACAAACTAACAGGTGACCTAATTTGATACTCATTGGGGCATGAATGGCCAGAATTTTGTTATGCTGAAAGAATATTGCATGTTCTGCTATTTTTACTTTCTTAATGATGTTAAATATATTCTAAATTGGGCCCTGTTTACCATATAAATTAGCAATAATTATTGTTATCCAGTCTTTGAGTTATTGTTGAGTGTTTGAGTTATTTTCATTTAGGTCAAAGAAGAGTCGAGAGTTGAAACGTTTGATTTGTCACAGTTTCACTGTTTTATTGATGATAAGACGAAATTCTCTTCGGCAACTCAAAAGCATCAAGTTTTTTGCGGTCTTAACAACAAAGATTTTAATATCAAGATCTCATACTCTCGGAATTCAGGGTTGCACACAGAGCAAAAATATTCCTGAAACCTGGAGCCACCTAAATTCCCATCAACCCTATGTTGCCTTTCAGAGTCATCATTTTTTACTCAGAGACGAGAGATTCCTGTTTTCAATATTATTTTTTTCTTCTATAACTTCTATCTAGTGCTTGGTGCATTTTATTTAAATTAATTTTTTTTTTCAGCCAACATGGGTCTCGCTCGGCTGGCAACATCAATTCGAAACAAAATTCAACTCCGCACAATTCATCAAGAAAGCAACAGCACCCACAACGTTCCCAAACTCCAAATTCTAATGAAAAACGTCGACAGGAACACTGGAAAGTTCCGCATGGGAATAACAGACATAGCCCTCTTGCCAGAGACTTGTTTGGAGCCGAAAGTAACCCACCTTTTAAATTCGATTTCCAGGTAAACAATGGGGAATATCAAGGGGGTTACCCTCGCCGTAACCATGGATACCCAAATGATCATTATTCCGGTGGGTATTATTCCCGAAATAATCAAAACCGACCAAAAAAAAACAATTATCAACAAAGACAAAATCAAAATGCTGGTAGGGTCGAAAGTCAAAGTTCAAAGGGTAATTATCAGCACCAAAATGGCGGAACCCCTCAAACTAAGGGGCAAACAGGGGAGGCCACTCCAAAATTGTCAAATTCAGCTCCAAATATGACAGAATCTGATCGAAAAGTTCAATTTCTGGAAACTTTAATGAAAAATGGTGAAAAGGCGAAAAATCTCACTGTTACTGTGACAACAGGAAAAACAGAAAAAGAGGAAACACAAATTGGACAGAGTAAGTGTATGTTTGTTATTTCAAGAGTTTATTAGATACCAATTAGGTACCCTCACGCTAGTAATCAATGAAGCGTGACTGGCCAGAATAATCTTATTGTTACAAGTATGTGGCTGTGCTGTCATTTTAAACTTAATTGATTTTTGAGTTGATTGAATCAAATAGTACCAAGGATATCAGGCTGCATTTTTTAGGTGAATTTACCCAAAATTAGGTCTGAATCGGAAAATTGGGGATAAGACCACTGCAGGCAAGCTTAACTGTCATAATTTGAGCAAAATATTCTGTGCTTACGTAGTATGTGTACCAGGTTAGGGTTAGGCCATAATTTTATTCCGATCCACCTTATTTTGGTTTATTATGATTTCAGGGACTGTCAGTGTTAGCCAAGTGAATCCCCCTGTCCATACGTTTCTGTCCCTTTACACAACTTGATGTAAAGTAGTTGAACAATATTTGTTACCTCCATCTTGGTACACACACTCAAAATACTCAACTTTTCAATACTTTATATTCAGGCTCATTTCTTAGTGATGCAATCGGTGGTGGAAAGAGTCAAACCCAAAACAGTGCTCCATCTACCTCTTCTAGCACAACTAAACCACCGATTAAAAGTCCAGCCGACAAGTTTGTGAACCCTTTAATTTCCAACGACTTGGAGGAGATCAAATCTGACACCAGAAAAAAAGAAATAAAGTATGTTATGTTTGGATTGTTGAAAGACTTTTTATTCAGAGTTTCTAGTCTTGTGTGATTCGTACAAGAATACAATAATTATATCGATAGGATAGGATTTTAATATTTAACCCAGGAGAGAGGAGTGTCGATAAGACTACTTAGTGGTGTTCCATGGCCTCTCGTCCGGCCGCCAGTCTATTTTTGGCATGGAATTGTTTAGTGAGTTATTAGTGAGATACATGGACTTGATGCTGGAGGAAGCCATAGCTGACAAATATACCAAATTACCAAATATAACAGCACATTCAGAAGCGAATGCTAGAGACAAACATGAAGTCAATGATATGCAGGGAGCTACTACCATATTACAAAAAATGACGGCACATTTTAAAAATGATTATTTTCTATTTTAGACAAGCAGAAGATAAATCTGTTGTGAACAATGCAAATGTGAATAACAAAGAAACAACGGCTGATATAGGTAAGATGATTAACATGCAGGGAGGCCCACTGTGTCTAATTTTGACATATTTTGGGTTTAAGTATTGTTTACGTTTTGTTGGTAATCTGCAAGTGTTTTCAAAACTAGAACGATTAAGCATTACGTTTGACACAACAACTGTTTTTCCTTATTTGGCTTTAATTATGCTGATCTAGACAAAGAATTGTAGTCCCAGATAGACAATCTAATCAGCTGTCCCCTATTTTGATGTTTTAGCAGAAATGACTCGGATTTGTTACAGTGATCTTTGGTAATTTACTCGAAATAGAGAGAGATTTTATTTCCACAAAACAATGTTAAAAAAGAACAATAGGACAGATTATTATAGAAATACAGTGCAGTGAGTATTCAAAGGCTGTGATCAAACTGTCAGTATGGTTATCACAATATGAAATTATAAAATAAAGACAGAAAATGAGTCGGCTGATAAAAAAAAATTTTTTTTTCTATTATTCGACACTTACATCGGATTTATTGTATAGTTCAAAGGGCATGTGTAAAAATTGTATATATATTATACTGCACTTTCATCAAGTACAATACTGATCCCGAAAGTCTTATAAAAAATTTTATAGAAAAAATAATGATGAATAAAAAGAGAAAAAACAGTTCTGCGTATTTCACTTTTTTCACTTTTTCTTAGAATTCAACGAGAATCCGACTGAAATTGATAAAGCTGAAAATACTGAGAAAAAGAAGAAAAGACGCAGAAATAGGGAAAAGAAGAAAAAACGAGATAAAGCATCAGGTATGTTGAAATAGGAGAGAGGGAAGTTTTTCCAAGTTTTGAATTCGACCTATAAGCTGAAGGATATACAGTATATGATAAACTGTGGTATTTGGTTAGTTCAGATGTTTAATTAACATTAAAATAAGGAAGATTTAAATAAGAAAGCTCTGAAGATCAAATATCCTAACATGATGAGACCAATTCTTCTGAATGAAGATCAAACAGATGTGGTGTGAATCAAATTCCTGAAGTCCTGGATTCGACCCGCGATTTACTAGTTTACTAGCCGTGATATAAGTGAGCCCGTTCCCAGTGGTTCGCAAACATTTTGAGACTTTGTTGAGGCTTGCTTCCCATCTCAAAAATAAGAATAAGCTACAAATAACAGATAGTAAGGTGGAATATGTTTTGTTGGAAAAACACATTTAAAATATGTGGAAAGAAGGAACGAACAAAAGTGCTGAAATAAATGTCAAGTTTTGAAATGTAAATATCCAAAAAAAGGCTGGCAAGATCAAATTTAACAAATATTTTTATTTTTAATTAGCTTCACGCCCCCTCAAAAAGTTGTCTATGCCTACATTGCTCATTCCCAATTATGTTTTTGCAGACAAGCAGCAGCAAGACAAAATCGAGAAACTAGATTTCAAAGTGGCCAGCCCTACCGATGATAAGAACAAATCTGAAAGTAAGAATAGGATTTTTATGCAAGTTCATAAAATCTATTCCAGAGATTTGCCACTGTACCACCGATTACCCAGCGTGAGTTTGCAGGTTCGAATCCGAGGGGGGATAATTTTGTGCAAGATGATTGCTGGGCTCCTCGCTGCCATAGGGTCTATGCATCTGAAACATATAACTGGTTAACTAATCCCATACCTGGCACGGACTGGTAACCGGAAAAAAGTTCACCAGAGAATTCAGTCATCTTATCGCCTTCCCTTTCCCGTGATAAATTGGTAAATCCCATCCTATATTACCGTTTGTACTCCTTTACATGACATTCAGTACATTTTTTTAACATTTGTCTAAAATTTCACTGACAATGCAGTGTCCGTATTAGTCAGTTGGCCTTGTTTCAATATATTTAAACTTTGCAACAATTTCCTTTCTTTCAGAATAAATGTCTTTTTACATAATACTGGCTGTTTGTACAGTGTTTTGATCAAAACGAAATCACTGAAACTTTGTATGAAATTGGCCCTAAAATGGAATATTTATTTCCTTAAAATAATCATTTTAGCTGAGGTCGATGACGAAATATCAGACACACTTGTTGATTCTACAACGAAAAATGAAATGAACGAAACACTCGAAGAAAAAGAGTCTTCCATTCAGAAAAATAAAGAAATATCTAGGAAAGATGGAAATGTGGAAAAGCCTGCAACGCCATGTAAGGAATTGCTTATTAGTTCTACATTTGGGTGTTTTACATGCAGCTGTGGTGTAGGAGCATAATATTTACACTCGCGGAAATCAGGATTTTAAATCTGATTTTCATGAAGTTGAAATTGAAATTGCACACAATTAAGGAAGGAAGGATATTAATATCAAAATTTGATTTTCGTGGCTGGAGTTCTGTGGCCACATCGACGTCCCTACATGTGGGAGGTCAGTGCCCAAATTTTTTCAACTGGGGTTGGAGAGCCAGCGATCACCTGTTCGACCAGGGTCTCAAACAGGCCTCCTGCCTCTTCTAGGGGCCCCCAGGTTGGTTTTCTTTTGGAGGGCTATCAGTTATGGCCTCCACTATGAGCTATTCGCAATAACTGTAACGCATTCTTCACTCTACTTTCGTTTGTTGACTTTTCGTTATTAAACACGAAGGAAAAAATATGACTCATAGAAACCTTTTAACCCTTTATATGCGTTGGTCCCAATCGACTTTTATACCCCTTTTATAATATGACATAAATAGTTAATCAAACACGCTAGTACATTACGCTAGTACACTATTATTGACTTTTCGTTATTAAACACGAAGGCAAAAATGTGACTCATAGACCCCTTTTGAAAGCAAAAGTAGGCATTTTCATACAAGAGCAGTTGGCCACAGGTGTTTGGAGTGTTTTGAAGGTGGAATAGATTGTGAGAGTTCCTTAACCAATGGGATAGACTAGGGGTTTCCTCGGCCCAATGGGCCACAGCCCAAATTTGGGTTGCTTAGAAATTTTCTTGGGTCGCCTATTTTTTTCATCGAAAATATAAATGTTACGGCTTTTTCTTTAGTATATTTTATTGTTTGTTTCATATTTGTATTGAAGTGTTGCTCAATAGTGATTGTATATGTAGGATGTATCACAGCGTAAAAACTTGATATATGTTGTTATTAGTCAGTCAGTTGATTTAGTGATCATTTGGGGACATGAGAATTACCTACCTGCTACAATTTTACAAAATTTATTTTTAAAAAACTTGTGGTTGCTTGAAAAAAAAAGGTTGGGAAAACTCTTGGTTAGACCGGTTTTTACCAGTTTCATCTTTATCATTCCTATTTCTTCTGCTTCAGCTCTGACTACTGAAAAGGATGAAAAGCAGAAAGTGGAAGAATTGGGACTGTTACAGGCTGAATCCAGATTGGAAAAAGACCTGATTTTTAGACTGAAAAAGGTAGGAAAGCAATGTATCAATTTTTTAAATATGCAGTCCCCGAACTCGTAATAAAACTGAAATAAGGAAAATCGGAATAAAATTATGGCCTAACCCTAACCTGGTACACATACTACGGGAGTACCTTTATATCGCTATTCCAATGGAGTGGTTTTAACCAGTGTTCCGCGAGTTTCCTTTCAAATCCTAAAGTCTATAATAATATTCGGTTTAAATGTAATCAAATACCTTAGGTTTTTCCACTATTATTAAACTTGATACAGATCAAAAATCATTTTGTTTTGCCGGTATTAGGTTTGCTTTTATATATATATATTTATACCATATGCAATTTTGACAATTAAAGACAAACTATTGCACGGTGGTTCTTTGAGCCTCTGGAATGTCTCATTACTTATCGGTCTTTAGATCGGTAATTATGTTGGTAGGTATTTGTCTGTTTGTCTGTTAGATGCATGCGATATCTCACCAAGGCGTGGTTGAATCTGCGCCAAATTTTGCATGTGCATTCATCATATCTCGGACCAGAAGCCTATTGATTTTGGATGAATTATGTCATATAATTAGCGAGTTATTAATTGATTAGTGATGGGACACTTGGTGTCACTATAGAGTCATGAATCGAAATCGCAGTACCGATCGATAAGTCTTCGGTCTCCGACCGATATTCTCGTTCTAGTGCTTGTGGCCATTTACAGTTAGAGCTAGGATCTGAAGCCAGACCCAACCCGAAATTCGACCCGGGTCGAGCCTGAAATGTCAATCATTACCTTCGGGTCAGGACGGGCTTCTCTATCGCTGACTTTTTTGAAATGAGGCGTTTCGGCCATGTTTTAGCCACAAGAGATTGTGGTCTGCAAAAAAACAGATGTTGCCTCGTCAACACGGCACATACTGTACTAAACTCTTGCAAAGACAATTCAATGAACTCATGAATAAAATATGAAAATTTCGGGTTTGCTTCGAGCTCGGGTCTGCATATCCAGTTAATTAGTCGAGCTCGCGTCGGGTTTATTGCCCACGGGCCTGGGTCGAGCTGGATTTTTTGGGCCTGATCTTATCTCTATTTACAGTTGCTTATTAAGATCATTATAGGAGCAAAATAACCCATAAATATAAAAAAATGTTTGTTTTTAGAAATCAGCAACTTTCCCAGATGCCAAGTATTTCTGTAGACTTTGCTCCCACCATCTGAACACTATACAGCTTGCACATAAGCATATCAAGGATAAAAGACATAAGAAAGAGGGGAAAGCCAAGCAACAGGTATTTTCTTCAATATATGATGTTTTTGTGCTCTGAACAAGGCTGTTGAACTGAAATTGGCAAAATAGGGCCCCCAAGCTAAATCCGGTCCGTCGGGTAATTCATTCAATCTGACCCGCCCGATGCTGCTACAACCAAAGTAAACCAAATTTTGGTGTTTCAGCTGAGAAATAGCTCAAGTAAGACTGCGCTTAAATTTAGTTTTGGCGCAAGGTCTATTGTTTTCGATTTTTGCTTTTTGTAACACTGTAAATATCGTTCATGAAATGTAACCTTACATGGCCAGCCAGTCTAGGTGGGCGATTTTTTGGCACGTCCTTTAAAAATTTTTCCCACTGCTCTAGAAATTGGCCGTAATATGTTACTATGTTTCGGAAGGAATCTGCCTGGTTCTGCATTTCCTACCTAAATTCATTGCATTGGGTGCGATCCGGCCATGGACAAAGTCCTGGATTGGCAGCTAAACAGCACAAAAAGGGGTAGCAAAACAGAATTTTTGGTACTCCTGAAGTATGTGAACCAAGATGGTGGACACCGGACCGTAGTATGTGTACCAGGTTAGGGTTAGGTTATAATTTCACATACGAATACTTGTAATGGAACTAAAAGGAGAAAAATTGGAATAAAATTAGGCCTAACCCTAACCTGGTACACGTATTACGTTCCGATGTCCGCCATCTTGGGTCACATACTTCAGGAGCAGTGTGGGATGTATCTGAAAATCATTATTTACAAAACAACTATTAGGATTCTGTCTTTATTATGCCTTTGGGAGAGTAAAGTATTAAGACGGGTAATTTATATGACTAACACCCACCTTCTTTTTCGATGTTTTAGGATGAACTATTACGACAACTGAAAACTCCTCCCAAAGCAGCCCTCAAAGTGCTAGATCGTCTTCTAGTGTCAGTCGTTGAAAAGAATATGATGTCACTAGAGGACGCTGAAGAGAGGATGAACGTTGTTACCAGACTTGATGAAATTGTTCAGGAAAAACTGCCAGGTGATGAAAATTTCTGACTGAAGCCGGTTTATTTGAATTCTTGTGAATATACTTGTGCCTAAACTGCGGAAATGGCGTAACAATTGGCGGTACCTAGAACGCAGAAAACTAAAAATATAAAGTGGTAAACTATTCCACTTGAGTTCAGGGGACATAGTACATCATTAGGCCTTATTTGGCTCACAGGCTGCGATTTGGGAACCCCTGCTGTAGAGCAACATTTCCAAACTGGCGAGTAATACCTTCCAGTGAGTAATTTTGTCGTTCTTGGGGAGAAATTTTACTTTATATTTTCTGTAATGTTGCTACTTCAGTTCTTTATTATCACTGTTATACTTATTCATAGACACATCAACTACTTGAACTGTACAAAAATGTGTAAGCCTACTACCGTAGTATGTGTACCAGGATAGGGTTAGGCCATAATTTTATACCGATTTTACCTATTATAGTTCGGGGACTGTCTGTGTTAGCCTAGTGGATATACACCCTGCCCATAGGTAGGGATGGGCAATATAGAATACCGAATCCGGAGGATTCGAATCCCAAAGTATTCGAATCCAACAGGATCCGATAACAGGATTCGGTTTCCGCCTCTCCGGCGCCATGCGTCGATTTTTGCATTTCGGGTTTCTAAATATCAATTAAAGACGAGCGTTTTTCTCGCGTGGAAATCTCTCTCGTTTAGCTAGACTTGCGTCTGCTCGGAAAGAACCCGTAAAATCGGTAAACTTCAAACACTGTAATCTCAATCGGCGTATTCCGGACAGGAAGTGGGCGAAGTACATCTCATGGCGAAGACTCGTTATTGCACCATTTTTGCGTTTTCGCCGGGCGTCAATTTTTGTATTTCGGATTTCTAATTTAACAATTAAAGACGAGCGTTCTTTCTCGCGTGGAAATTTCTCTCGTTTAATTAAACTTGCCTAATCGCAAAGAACCCGTAAAATCGGTAAACATCAAACACAGTAATCTCAATCGGCGTATTCTGGACAAGAAGTCGTGAAGTACACCTTACGACGAAGACTCGTTATTGCACCATTTTTTGCGTTTTCCTGCTTTGCTATCTAGCGAGGGTTTAATAATAATAATTATTTGTGCCGACTTACTGGCGATATTCCGATAATTTGATTGCAACAATCTTCAGTTGTTTACAGGCGTGCCTTGCTTTATTTTACATTACTGTAAATGATTTTCCGCGACCGGCGAGTTTTCCCCAGAAAATGATGCATGTAAATCAAAAGCCAGGCGTAAAATGTTATGACATCACTTGCGATTAATTTAAATCAAATATTATTTTGGAATAATTTTATTACTTTTATTACACCAGTTTCCGAAATACAAAGTTATATCGCATAACACGACGATCTGTCGCATTTAAATTTCACTCCCAAAAGATTACATATCTTTCGGTCCGTTTCTATCGTTCAAGATAGACGCACGTTTGATCGAGTGTCTGTAGTAATTTTATTCGCCGATAAACTTAAAAAAAAGATGCCACATCTGGCGAAAATAGTTACGTATTGAGTTTGAGTAGGGCCAAGTCTGGGTAGATAATGATATGTGACGATAATAATAGAAATTGAATTCGTCTTTAGATGATGTTAACTAATAACTAACTACGAAATCGCGTTTACGGGAACCTTGTTTTGCACGTCTTGATCGCACAGAATAATAAGTTGATTTTAATTGATAGTGGTTAAATTTAATATTTTACACCGGTCGCATAGGTTGCAGTTGCCACACGCTGGTCCTGCATCTAATTAATTCTCAGCGGGTGTGTTTTAGTACACTCGACACTCTATAACATTAATAATGATTTAATGCCGTTTCATATCTATTTTTGTATTTAACCGCTTACTATTAAAGCGTTTGAAGCGTAATTTAGCATATAAGTATTTAGAGATTACATACATTTGGAACAATTGAAAGCAAAAATATTGTAATATTCTTAGATTTCATTGTCCTGGGAAATGCCTGTTTAGTATCAAATCAAATACAATGTTAAGGACATTTCCAAATAAATAATACATTTATAGTAATACATTTATAATTTTTTGACATCTAAATCAAGCAATCAGGAAAATTTCCTCTATTTGAATAAGTATGAAAATAGAATAGGATTCGGTATTCTGGATTCGATTTAACTATTCTAGAATATTCTAGAATAGTAAATTATTCTACATTGCCCATCCCTACCCATAGGTTTCAGTCTCTTTATACAACTTGATGTAAAGTAGGCGAACAAAATTAGTTACCTCCATATTGGTACACATACTTCAGGAGCGCCCATAACAAAATATTTTAACGGGAATATTTTTTCTTAAGATTTTTACAATAAATCCCGGCCATTTCCCTTACAATATTGTCTCACTTGCATCAAGTCTTACAATAAGCAGAAATCAAGGACCTTTTCCATTTCGTCTACGAATATATGAATACTCATTATATTTTGTTTATGGGGCCCGTTCATCTTTTGGGTTTACATTTGGTGTTATAAATACTTTTATGAATATTTTTTGCTAATTATGAGTCATAATATTAGTGGCTGGGGATAACTTGAAAAGGCCTGAAATCGTAACTGTTTTTTTTAAAAGGTTGTCGAGTTGTTCCGTACGGATCATCAGTAACAAAGATTGGTCTGAAAACCAGCGATATAAATGTTGATATTCAATACGCTGGAACGCTAAGTACTCCTGCTGTCTTGCTTTCCTTGCTGAAGATATTGAAAGAGTGTGGTAGGTTGTGCGACTTTAAATTGTATTAGTTTTGTTTTTTATATCATTTATATTTTGGTTCAGGATTGGTTTGTCAGCTGGTCCGGTACTTTTGGGTAAGCTGCATAGAATTCAATCATTTATTCAGGCAAAACTCCCAATTGTAAAATATATCAGCAAATCAGGCAATGTGAAATTTCAGGCTCTCTGGGAACATTCTGAACATTTCTCAATTTTCTTAATTAGCACCAAAAAAAACCCAAATATGCACATTTTGGTTTATGTGACCTTATTTGCTTCATTGAGATTGTGGATGAATTGAATTTAGTGCTCTGGGTCATGATAAAGTGTAGAACTTCAAGTAATTGTTTGGGGAAAGCTTGAATACGCAAAAAAAAATTTATGGCACAACACTGGTTATAGAACTTGATTTTTCAAAATTATAAGAAATAGAAAACCATTCAAATCATTGTTTAACGCAACCATCCTGCATTTTTAAGTTGCAACTCGTTGAAACACATTGACTTCTATGTTGAACCCATTCTGTATTTTGTCTTCTGAAATACTATTCAAACAATATATTATTCGATTTTGATTAATTTGTGTATTCAGACAACAGAATTAGAGATATATTGATTTGATCATTAAAATCAGCCATCCATGACCCTACAGCACTTATATATCTACTTATATTTCAATTTGTTCTGCTTGCTTACAGTGTAGTTGACTTTTAATTAACTTAATTTTTGAAAAATATTTTCAGATTCATTCATCGACATTCAAGAGGAATTTACGGCGAAAGTACCAAGGATTGAGATAACAGACAAACAGACGAATGTCCGTTGCAGTTTAAGCCACAACAACTCAAAAGCTCTTCAGACGACACGATTGTTGAAGATTTATGGACAAATAGAACCAACTGTGATTAAGGTAGGAAATTTATGACAAATAGAACTGTGATAAGGTAGGAAGTCTACGGACCGGACGTATTTCCTCGAGTAGTATTTCGACGACGACGTGGGGAGTTGGCTATTGTTTCCTACATTTTTGATATTGACTGAAAACTAATCGAAACAATCCAGTTCAGGTTTGCATAATTTTTTGAATCGAAACCGCAGTTTCTGTTTTGGGGGATTCCCTAACTTTCGATCGATAAGTTTTCGGTCTCTGACCGATATTCTCGTCTCTACTCTTGTTACAGCATTCTTGCATTATACGGTTCCACCTGCGCAAAAGCATAGAAGAAGTTCAAGTAGCTAGTCTGGTAGAAACCAAATCATTAGCACAAATCACAAATATAGTTCCCAAAAATGGAGATTCCAGTTTGAAGTTTTATTTTATATTTTCAGCTTGCGATGTTGCTTCGATTGTGGGGTCGTCTATGTCAAGTCGATTGCCAACAAGAAGGCTCTCTGGCGCCACATTCGTTTTTGTTGATGACGATATATTATCTGCAACAGAATTATGGGTTGCCAATTTTACATGAAGTAAGTATGTTTTGGTTCGGTTATTTTAGTTTTACCTATTTTAGTTCTATCACGCGTTCGGGGACTGCCTGTGTTAACCAAGTGAATATACTATAGTGAATATAGTGATGTAATGTAGCCAAAAAAAATTAGTTACCTCCATATTGGTACACATACTTCTGGAGCGCCATTTAAACATTTCCATAATGTGAGAATGCGTATCTATTCACTATATCTGCAAAATTTAAGATAATGAAATTCAATTTTTTAGATAATGGCGAGTCACGATATAGACTCTCTTCTTGGGGGCTCAGGATATGATGAGGATATTTTAGTTCAAAATGGGGAGGGAGAATGGTGTTATAACCCGACAGTGCCACCTTCTGGAAAAGAAGAACAGAAAACACCTGAAGTTGAGGAGGAAATTGATGACATAGCTGAATATACAGGTGAAACATTACTAATGAGTTTTCAATCAGGGATCGCCGAATACTGTGAGATTAATAAATCCTGTAAAGGGGATGTGGCTTAAAAAGTTTGAGGACCACTGTCTTACATTGTTGGTAAGTTAAAACAGTGAAACTCTCCCTTAGGTGGCCTTAGGCTGTTTATTCAACTCATTATGAGAAAATACTCGTCTGCAAGCCTAACTGTTTGTAATAATCGAAGGTGCTCCCGAAGTATGCGAACCAAGATGGCGGACATCGGAACGTAACATGGGTAACAGGTTAGGGTTAGGCGATAATTTTTTTTCCAATTTTTCTTATTTTAGTCCCATTATCAGTTCGAAGACTAGCCAAGAGCCTCCCGTAGTATTTATACCTAAAATTATGGCCTAACCCTAACCTAGTACACATATTACATTCTGATGAACGCCATCTTGGCTCGCATACTTCGGGAGCCCCTAATCGAAAATGTACAGAGGGAGATGTTGTCAACCAGAACACATGCACACAAACATGACATAGAATTTACGCAGAAAGTATGTGTTACAGACTTGGGTACTCCTGTAGTATGCAAACTAAGATGGCGGATATCGGAACGTAGTATGTGTACCAGGTTAGGGTTAGGCCCTAATTTTAGGTATGAATACTACGGAAGTCACTCACGGCTAGTCCCCGAACTCGTAATAGAACTAAAATAAGAAAAATTGGAATAAAATTATGGCATAACCCTAACCTGCTACACATACCACGTTCCGGTGTCCGCCATCTTGGATAACATACTACAGGAGTACCCAGACTTGGAGGTTAATACTACGCACATGATAGAGAATCGCACAAATATGGAAAAAGCTAACCGAGTTTTATTCCTTTCCACCAGACTCTGATGAAGATATTGGAATCACATTCAGTGAATCTCCAAAGAAAGGAGCGACGTTTCTCGGCTTCGAAAACAGCCTTGAAAGTGATGCAGGAAAAAATAACAATCCTCTTGTACCGGTCACGCTTGGGAGATGTTTCGACGGCAAAGCTCCGCCTTCTCTTGCAGAGTTATGGCTTGGGATTTTGAAGTTTTATTCCGCTCAATATGATATGGAAAATTTGGTAATTTTTTTTTTTTTGGACTATAATTCACTTTCTGAGATGTCTTGTGTGCTTGGAAACTTTGGTGAAAGTTTACTCAGAATACTTTGAAATGAATCTTTGAGAAACTAAAACACACCTCAACCTAAACAGAGGAACATTCAAAATCGAACTTAATTGCACCAACGTCTGATACATAACAGCTAGTAACAAATGCAGCGAGACAGACTTGACAATAGTCAGTAATTATATAACACACAGAACAATAATGTAATGTTTAGAAAAAATAGAACTCTCGTAGTGTGTGTACCAGGTTAGGGCATAATTTTATTCCAATTTTTCATGTTTTAGTTCTATTGCGGATTCGGGGACTGTCTGTGTTAGCCAACTGAATATACCCCCTGCTCATAGGTTTCAGTCACTTTACACAACTTGATGTGATTTAGGCGAACAAAATTAGTTACCCCCCTATTGGTACACACACTTCTGGCGCCAAAAAAATTAAGTAATCTTGGAATTGCCATATCCAAAAAAGATTTTCTGAACTGGACTAGGCGCTAACAGAGAAATCTTGTTTTTAGATTATAACCATCAGAAAGTCTGGCAGAGTGACTCGATCGGAGAGAGGGTGGTCACATCGACGAATCGCTATTGAAGACCCGTGCTCACCCAAGTGGAACATGTGTAAACTAATGAACAGCCAGGTTAGAAATTCATATTTAGAATTGATTGAACAGTCAGATAAAAAAAATTGGGTGGGATGCTCCCGAAGTATGTGCACCAAGATGACCCACAACCTGAACATAGTATGTGTACCTAGTATGTGTACCAGGTTAAGGTTATCAGGTTGTGCGCCATCTAGGTGCACATACTTCCAGAGCGCCAAAAGTTGTTGTTAACTTGTGCCTTAGGACAGGTGGTTCATGAACCGCTGGCCGGTTATGACCTCCTCCACCATCAAGTCAAAGCATCTGAAATAAATAACTGGTTAACTTATCACTAGGGCTAGGCATTTCGAATCGAATATTCGAATCGAATAGTAAATTATTCGAATCGGATCAGAGCTAAATTTCGAATCGCCGCCATCTTGTTTTCATCTTTCCGCTAATTGTCGAGGTGAATTCCCCAATTTTTTTTTATTGGAGTCATATTTTTTCAACGAAATTCTAACATATGACTATTTTCTGTAGTGAGTTATTGATAAAACGTGTTTGTTATTCTGTGTGAATGCTCAGTAATCTATCTGGGTGATTTATTCTATGTCTTCGGTAATTCATTTGTTGAGAGGACCAATTACTATAATAAAGTCGCTTACAATTATATATTTTCAAGTATTCGAGATTCGATTCGAAAAATATTATTCGATTTGATTCTGAAATCACAAGGTATTCAAAAATGCCCAGCCCTACTTATCACATACACGACATGAACTATTAACGGCATGGGGGTCGTGGTTCGCCATTATGATTATGCCGTTTTATCTCTTTTTTTCTTCCTGGAATTGAATATGAAAATCCTATTTTACGATTGATCCATCAGCTTTACTCTCCCCATGATAAAAATGAAAAATAACATCCCATCCTGTTTTTGAACGATGCTCCCGAAGCACCAAGATGGCGCATAACCTGAACATAGTATGTGTACTAGGTTAGGGTTCAGGTTGTGCGTCATCTTGGTACACAGACTTCCAGATCGCCTTTTGAACTGTCTCTAAGCCTTATCAACGTTCCTCTCTGAAGTGATGTAACATTTTACTTTATTTGTTTTTCCACAGACTTTGTTCTCGTATTTTCAAACCTGCTTGAAACACTGTGTATTTTATTTCCACACGGCACATAATTCTGCCAAAACAAGGAATAAGAAAATTCTGCCAGAAGGTGTAGCAAAAAATCAGCAAAGTGCGACGAAAAATTCCATAAAGACGACGGAAGAGTTTGCAGATAAAATAATAAAATCAGCTTTTGATGAGGTTAAAGTTCAAATGTCACGCATGAATAAAGATAGTTCGCAATCAACAAGTGCAATAAAGGATAAAGGTCATTTGTCACAGTTGAGTAAACAACAAAGCAAGAATGATTCAACGATATCGAAATATGCTGATGTAATGATTGATGACATGATCAATAATTTGAAGGAATTGAACGTCAAAACAAGAAATTCCTCTGCACCAGAGTTGAAGTGAGATTTGGTTTTTATTTAATTATGGTTTGTGTGCCAGAGTGCCGAAGAAAGTCGATACGACAGCTTAATCATATTTTGAACCACAGCCTCTCGTCCAGTTTCCTATTTCGGCGGTGTGGCGCATCGTGCTAAGCGTTAAGGAATACGCTCGTCACTGCATCTCTGATTACCCTTCGTGGGATTGCAGGTTCGAATCCCATGCAGGGATGATCATGTGCGAGAGGATTGCTGGACTCCTCGCGCCGTAGGGTGGTTCACTTAACCGCTGGTCGGTTGCGGCTTCCTCCACCATCAAGTTCATGCTTCCGGAAACAAATAACTGGCTAACTAATCCCATACCCGACCTGGACTGGTAACCGGACTGTGGTTTGCCATATGATTAAGTCGTCTTATCGGCTTTCCTCTCCCCCGGGATAAATATGTAAATCCTATCCCATCCTAGTTACCTTTCCATGTCTGGTATGGGATCAGTTAGCCAGTTATTTCTTTTTGGAAGCATGGACTTGGTGGTGGGGGAAGCCATAACTGACCAGCAGTTACGTTACCTACCCTACGGTCGTGAGGTGCTCAGCAATCCTTTTGCACGTAACTGTTAATCAGAGGTATGTAGCGCTTTGCCACACCTCTGTTTTCACAGGAGTTTGTTTTGTATTCTCAAGTCATAGTCAAAATAATCAATTCTGTGCCCTGTGCCATTTTCAGTCCTTTAATGATAATAGAAGGAGGCGAAGTCTTACAAAAACTCGAAAAAAGTTAGGTTCACTAAAGGCCTTGGGTGAGCGAACATGCACCACTTCTTTTGACAACACATCTGTACGTTTCAAACCTTACTCAGGGTTTTGTTGGCTTTCCAGATTCTGTAATCAGTTTTATTTATTTTGTTTTCATTAATTAGTTTATCGTCTTTTAAGCTGATTATGGAGTCAAAATAAAATTATAACTATAATTTATCAAAAATTACGCTATGTATACGCCAAAGCTTTTCGTAGTCGAATGTCTGAGTCAAATTTTTATTTTTACAGCTACGACTCTTGCTACAAATTTACAAAGTCCTCCCTCACGGATGGGAAATCCCCTGTTTTAATATGTGGATCTTGTAAGAAGGAGGGTCACAGGAAAGCAAAATGTCCAGACGAAGTAAAAATTAAGATTAACCCCCTGCCTGCCTTCACAGAAAGATTGAAGTTCATGCTAGACACTGTTTGTAAGGACATGTATGGTAAGAGGGTTAACTTTTATAAAAATTGTGAAAATTTTGGGTTCTATATGATTTAAGATAATAATAGTTTTTATGTTTTATTTGCTTTTGATTTTGTTCTCAAACTTTTAAAAATTTTTCCCCTGGCCTGTGATTTAACCCCCCTCCCTTTCCCCTCCCTGACAAAAATTAAAAACTAAAATTTCGAATTCTAGTTCTTACAATTTCAAAATTAATTTACCAGATTACTATGTTCCACTACAAGACGAAGTCTCGATGCGCGAGAGGGTTTGCTCCGATCTACATGAATTTCTACGGAAAAACTACAGCGAGTACGTGAAAATGTGTTTGTTTGGATCCTCTCGTAATCGTTTCACTTTTCGAGGAAGTGACCTTGATATTTGCATGACTTTTACAGATAACGATACTGGGGAGGTATGTTAGAAAAAAGTTTAAATCTCTTTTCTAGATTAGATTAATTTAGAGAAGAATCTTCAAAATTCAAAAAAATTACAATTATAATATAGATTTTAGCAATATGATTGAATTGAAAGCACGATGCAAATATGCGGATAGAACATAAATATTGTAAATGGAGAAATGTGAATATTCAATATAAGTCGGGTGAGATCGAAAATTTTTATTTTAGCATTAGAGTTATGTGTCCCCATGGTCACCAGACTTATTGGTGCTCCCGAAGTATGTGCACCAGGATGGCAAACAACTTGAACCATAACCTGGTACACATACTATGTTGAGGTTGTTCGGCATCTTGGTGCACATACTTCGGGAGCTTCGACTTATTTGGGGAAAGCGAACCATAATACTCATGGAATTTTTGTTCTTATTTCAGCACCTAGACTTTGCAAGTATTATTGAAGATCTTGCGAAAGTCTTGCGGAAAAATCCAGACCTTCGTAATATAATACCGATCACGACAGCTAAAGTGCCGATCGTTAAGTTCTATCATCCGAGTGCTGGACTGGAGGGAGATATCAGCTTATATAATTTACTGGTGAGTACTTGTAAGGGCACTCCCGTAGTATGCGAACCAAGATGGCGGACACAGTGGAACGTAGTATGTGTACCAGGTTAGGGTCAGGCCATAACTTTATTCCAATTTTCCTTATTTTATTTCTATTACAAGTTCGGGAACTAGCCACTGCCATAGCTTTTGTGCTGAAAATTATAGTCTAATCCTAACCTGGTACACATACTATGTTCCGGTGTCTGCCATCTTGGTTCACATACTTCGGGAGTACCCTTCTAAGAAGTGTTCTCACACTCATTCTGTACAAGGTTATAAATCGCAAAAAGTAGGAACAAAGTGTTTACCACAATTCACACACAATATGGAACATGCTTTATCAATTACTCACTAGGACGAAAAGAACCATATGTCCGGATTGCATATTAAAATATTGCTTCAATCAAAAATTTCAAAAATTTCACTTCGGCCTATGGCACACAGAAATAAAACATGATGGCCACATTTCCGAATTTTTGTCTGTACCAATTCAAATATTTCACTATTTGATCCGAATATTTGATTCGAAATGCCCAACCCTGTCCGATCCATTATTTCTGACATCCCCTTAAGCTTCATTATCACTTTCTCTATTTCCACCCAGGCGCAGCGAAACACATCAATGTTAGCTTTATATGCCAGCATCGACGAAAGATGTCGAGTACTTGGCTATGCTATGAAGGCCTTCGTTAAACGATGCTGCATTGGAGATGCGTCACGTGGGTCGCTATCTTCCTACGCCTACACCTTACTCGTCATTTATTTTCTTCAACAGAGGGATCCACCTGTGTTGCCAGTATTGCAAGAGGTAAGACATTTACCTATCTTTGCTCCATTCCATTGGTTTTTAACCCTTTTTTAGAGGCGCGGAATTCCTCGGACTAATGTTCCCTCTAGTTTTTTGTAGTATGTGTGCGCAGAAATTTTGGTGTGTGCGCACTTTTTTGGAAATGACTAATATTTTTGCAAAAACAAATGAAGAAATTTTGGCGTTCTAACCAGGTAATAAGTGGGCCAACAACAAACTTTCTCAACCTGCCAACCAGGCACATTGTTACATTACATCGAAATACGTCTGTGTGCAGTAAATCTATGCGTGTGCGCAGCCTCTGAAAGCTGTGTGCGCGCGCACACTTTAGAGGGAACACTGCCTCGGACCCTTGTGCAAGCAACCTTGAATGAGCCATTTTGCATTCTTTCAATCAAACCGTAACCTACTCTAATGTCAGTGCCTATTAAAACTCTTGGAAAACCACTTATGATGCAATAATCTAGTTCTTACTAAGGAGAAGTAAAATGAAATATGAATGATGCAATAAATCAGCTTATTGCGAAATGAAAAAAACTTTGAAAATGAAAAGTAAAAGTTTACTGTGACAGATTTGTATCACGGCCTATTCAGCCCATTTTTATCACTCTCTGGAACAGGGGGCCACGAGTGCTAAAAGCCCCCAGTATGGGGTACAAGCCATTAAAGGTTTGGAACCACCGATATTTCAAATTTGAATTCAAAGTTTCTTAACCCCAGTACTTTACTGGTGAAACCATACTTAAAAGTGCTCCAGAAGTATGTGTACCAATATGGAGGTAACCAAATTTGTTCGCCTACTTTACATCAAGTTGTGTAAAGGGACTTAAAACCTATGGGTAGGGGGTATATTCACTTTGCTATCACAGACAGTCTCCGAACTCGTGATAGAACTAGGGAAATCAGAATAAAAATATGGCCTAACTCTAACCTGGTACACACATTATGGGATACCGTTATTAAAAACAACTTGTCGGGCAGTGCAATGGCCATCATGATTTTGCCTACCCAATTACATTCATATAAAAGTATTCAATTCTGTTTTTCAGCTTTACACGGGAGATAAATCCCCAGAGTGCATTGTTGATGGCTGGAACTCCTGGTTTTATGACAGCATTGGAAATTTAGTAAGTATGGATTAGTTGAAATGCTTGTCTGGAGACATCTGACTTTGGTTTAGTGAAACATTACAAAAGAAATTTTGGGGGCTCCCGAAGTATGCGAACCAAGATGGCGGACATCGGAATGTAATATGTGTACTAGGTTAGGGTTAGGCCATAATTTTAGGTATAAATACTACGGGAGGCTCTTGGCTAGTCTTCGAACTGATAATAGGACTAAAATAAAGAAAATTGGAAAAAAATTATCCCCTAACCCTAACCTGTTACCCATGTTACGTTCCGATGTCCGCCATCTTGGTTCGCATACTTCGGGAGCACCAAATTTTGTGTTAGCATGATGAATATCTTAGTGTTATATTAATATATTCTGTTCGGTGAACGTACATTTGAACCCACGTACATTTGAACTCATGTGTATATCCGCGGGTTCAATCTATATGCGGGTGCAAAAACCAATGGGTTAGGGTTAGTATGGGTTCAAATATCCGTGAAACAAAAAAAATTTCTATATGTTTAATAGCATGCAGGTGCAATTGTCATGGGTTCGAATGTAATGAAACCATTCTGTTCTTGTTATGTTTATGCGGACTACAAAAATATACAGGGTTTTCATAAAGTCCCTTTACAATTTCAAATCAACTAGATTTTTGGTTTTTTAATCAGTAATTGTTTAAGTATTTTTAGTTCATTTAATATATCTTTGAGGGCCAAAACAATATGTGGTATTGATGAATTCCCTTTGCAATTTCAAAAATTGCTAAGACACCCTTTGTAATGTAATATTGTCTCACAATAGGGTTTCTCAAAACAAACCGGTTATGAAATTCCATGGTGTGCTATATGATTAGGTTGTATTATCAGCTTTCCCCCCCTTGGGGTAATCATGTAAATCCCATCCTAACCCTAACATATGCTTAGATATCAGTGGCGCCTTACACAGTGCTTTAGTCAGAGCAAAATATGTGAACAAAATTTTTTTAATATTTTATGCAGGATAAGGTATGGTTTGACTTTGGTAAAAACAATGAATCGTTGGGGGAACTCTGGCTTGGATTGCTACGATTCTACACGGAGAAATTTGACTTCAGCCATCATGTCGCCAGTATTAGACAGAAAAAACTGCTCACTGCTTTTGAGAAGGTTGGTATTTGAATGGTAACGAATGGTTAATACCATGCTGTGTTGGTTATTTGATTGATGAAGAATGGCTGGTACCTGTATTTGTATTTGAATGGTAAATAATGGTTGGTACTCTACTGTGTTGTTTGATTGGTAAAGTATGCTAATACTAGACCACGCTGTTCTGCTTTTTGGCTGTTTGGGTATTTGATTGGTAAGGTATGGTTAATACTAGAATATGCTGTTCTGTTTTTTGATTATTTGATTGGTAAGGTATGGTATAACTTGTCATTTGACTGGTAGAGTATAGTATTTTATTAGTAAAGTATGGCATGGTAAATGACCAGTATTTTGGGATTGTAGAAGTGTAGGATAGGGTTGTTTGAATGGTGGATAATAGTAAAATCGACTGTATGGATGTTTCCCTGACCTTTGATCCCAGAAAACAGGGCCTGGCCGATGAGATTTTTGTCATGCTTTCCATCTCAATTTTATCTGGAGAACATTTTGAGCCTTTATATAAATAAACAACACATCTCTATTTCCAAACTTGGACTATGTGGTAACTTTGCAGTGTTTTGGTCATTTTAGGTGTTTCTGTTGCCCTGCAACCTTCAAGCTGATATAACTTTTTTGCAATTGCAGGAATGGACATCGAAGTGCATCTGCATTGAAGACCCTTTTGATTTGAATCATAATCTTGGAGCAGGAGTTTCACGGAAAATGACGAATTTTATCATGAAGGTTTTTGTAAAAGCAAGAGAGAGATTTGGGACAGATCCTGGGAACTTGCTGAATGGTGTGAGAGATGTAAGTGTGTGATAAGGTGTTCATATTGAAGGCTGTGGGGGGTGGGGGGTGGGTAATTGCATCATTCGTCATTTCGGAGGTGCGGCTCATCGTGCTAAGCGTTAGGAATATGCTTGTCACTGCACCTCTGATTACTCTGCATGGGTTCGCAGTTTCGAATCTCATGCAGGGATAGTTACGTGTGAGAGCGGATTGCTGGACTCCTCGTTGTCGTAGAGTGTTTCATGTAATCGCTGGTCGGTTACGGCTTCCTCCAAGTCCATATTTCCGAAAACAAATCACTTGCTAACTAATCCTGTACCCGACATGGGATAGTAACCGGACGACAGGCTGTAATTCTCCATATTCGTCAACTGTCTTAACAGCTTTAATCTTTCCCGGGATAAATATGTAAATCCTATTCCATATGAAAGACGATGGTTTGCCATGTGATTGAGCCATTTTATCGAGATATCTTTATTTTGAATAAATGGGGAAACCCCACTCTCGGTATGACTGTTCCTTCACCATCAAGTCCGAGCATCTGAAAAATTCTCATAACCGACATGGACTGGTAACTGGACGAGAGGCCGTGGTTTGTCAAATGATTAATCCACCTAATCGCCATTCTTCTCCCCCGGGATAAATATATAAATCATATCTTAATCTCATACCAGACATTGATGTGTAATCAAACGAGATGCCATGGTTCGTTCGCCATATGGTGAAGCCGTCTTATTGATTTTCCTTTTTACTGGGATAAATATAAAAATGCTATCCTATGATCAATGCCGTCTTATTGGTTTTCCTCTCCTCCAGAATAAGTGTTACAAACCCATTTAATATATCTTTTCCTTTATTTCTCCTGTTAGATTCAGCGATATTTTTTCAACGCTGAATTCTTGATGGACGGGGAGGAAGTTCCAAATGACAGATGTTGCAGAATTTGTGGCAAGATCGGACATTTTGTCAAAGATTGTCCGAAAAGAAGAAATGGGCGCGGGAAAAAGGGAGATGGTGAGTCTCTTAGAGTGGACCTGGGGATTCCAACCTGTTTTTTGAGCGGCCCGTATTTCCTTTAGGATAGACTCAGAAAAAAAAGCTTAGGCTCAAATACATCTTGCATATATTTTACTATTAAAATTTAATTCTCTTCGAAAATTTTTCAAAAAGTAAGACTAACGCTCCAGATTGTAAATTTTTTTTAACACCTTTGCTGTGCTTAAGAGTAGCAGCCATTCATGGACTTGAGGATCATAACCACACCATTTTGAAATATGGAAAAAATAATAATAATTCTGTACCCCATTTTGTAGCTTCAAATCCTTTTAAACCAGGGGTTCCTAAGCTTTATTTAGGACGACCCCAAAAACAACTTTTATGTGTCCAGTGCGAACCCAGGTCAATATATATTTTTCATGAAACTTTGGAGCTTTTTTCACTGGACTTTTGAGTTTGGTCATGTGGTGATATTAAGTGAAATTAGCTAAAACCAAACAGTGATGTCACAATAAGCACCTACATTTTCTATAGCATAAGCATAGAGCGTTGTCTATGGGCCTGTTTTACAGTAAGCCAGGGTACAAACTGCTGTATTTAACTTAATTTATCAAATTTTGGAAGTTATGTACATTCATCCTCAACCATACCTCAGCGACCCCATGACCTGTTTGCGACCCTACCTGCTTATCACTCCGACCCAATTTGGGGTCGCGACCCCTGGTTTGGGAACCCCTCTCAAAACTCCCGAAAACCCACCTTTCCCGGCCTCCTGGACCCGCTAGATGTTTCAATTAGAAATTTCAGAATTAGGTTCGCTGATTGTTACAACATTCTGAGAATAGATTCACTCAAACACCCTGAGACCCATGGGGGGAATTAGAGTCAATTCGGTATCCTACTTTGTCGGATTTATGTTTTAATGTTTTTTTTTATGTACAATTTTATCAACTTTTTATCTCAATTTTAGATGCTAAAGGACTTAAAAATGTGGAATGTTTTGCTTGCGGAATGAAAGGACATTTCAAGAAAGATTGCCCGGCCCCCAGACAAGGTGATTGTTTGTCAAATTTGATGAAAAGTAGGAAAATAGTTCGAATTGTCCATTTGAGCTTTACGCTTTAAACAATTCACGTTCAATTCTTTTGTTCGTTTTATATGTTCTGTTCATCGTCTTTCGTGTGCTACATTTCAGAATGCCAGCACAAACCGACAAACGCATCAGGGCTGGCGTTATTTCATGGTTTCCAGCCCATATTCATTAAATTCTTATATACGCTGGAAATCTCTTCTTTCGTCGTGGTGTTAAAACGTGCTATAAAGCAGGGGTCTCAAACTTTTGGTGTTACATAGCCCATGAAGAGGTCAGCTATCATTTATGGATACCCACAATAATTTATAAAAGTGAAAAAGCGCATTGGTGTTTAACGATTTATGTCCCGATTTATGAGCAAATTGAAAAAGAATCGGATGTATTCGTTGCTTTGTATTAAAAAAAAATTTCCGTATTCTGATGAGTAAACTATCATCCCGCGGAACCTCTAGGTTTCTTCCATGGATCCCTGGGACTATGTATGGATCACTTTGGAAACCGATGTAATATGATACAGTCTAGAGCTCACATGAGCAAACTACGACCTGCGAGCCAAATCCGACCTGTTGGGTAATTCAATCTGGTCCGTCTGATGCTGTCGCAACCAAACTTAAAACAAATTTTGATGTTTTAGCTAAAAAAAAGCTCAGGAAATTCGTTATGATTGCGATTAAATTTAGTTTTGGCGCAGGGCTTATGTTTTTTCTGCATATACTTGTGTACCACTGTAAATATTGTTCATGAAATGTAACTGTTTGCGTCACACTTACATGGCCCGCCAGTCTGGATGGGCAAAATTTTTGGCCCCTGGTTCAAAAACCTTGCTCGCCACTGGTCTAGAGCTATTGACCACCATGTTATGTATTCATTATTTTATCAAGTTGTTTCCTCATTCACAGGTTCACCAATGAAGGATGGTCAGTTTCCTCACCATCCGTTGCGTTTGATGATGCCCAAAGTTCCATATATGATGCGACCCCCCATGCAGAACATGGGTCAAAGGTCACCTATTATAGTTCAGGCTAAAAGGTGAATCATTTTTCCTATCAATGCACCAGATGATTATACAGTCTAATCAGCTTTCCTTCCCCCCAAAGCACTTGTTGCTTACGGCTCCCTCGCCATCAATTTCATCTGAAACAACTGTCTAACTAACCGAATACTCGACATGGACTGGTAACAAGACGAGAGGTTCACCATATGATTAAGCCGTCTTATCGACTTTCTGTTAACTGTATATTTATTGTATTTCCGGCAACTAGCATTTTACCAGATGGCTGAGCATGACCTGTGATGTCATCAGTCACAGATGACTGATCATGATCAACCAGCTGTGAAGGTGAAGTAGGCATGTACTTGAGGGCTTATTTCTGTTAATGTATCTTGAGAGTTACTTTGGTTATGTTTATGGGCATTTACAAATTATACGTTTATGCTGAGTTAACACTTTCCTTCCCCCCCCCCCCCCCCCCAAAAAATATGAAAATTCTAAGATTGTGCCGTCTGAACACATTTCCTCTCCCCTGGGATGAATATAAATTCCCAACTCATTTCTTTCATATAAATTTTATATTCAGATATGATCCTAACAGCATGAATTTTCACGAATCTCGCATCAGTCTTGGACGACAAAATTCTAATCAAAGAGGGGGGAAAAACCCCCAACGAATGCAGGAAAGTCCGCTTAATAGGGTTGAAAATCCACTGAAAAAGACTGAAAATAGAAGACGACCAATTTCTTCAACCTCTGATCAAAATTTCGAAAGCCAACCCAAAACGCCACAAAGTGGTCACAAGAGGCAGCAGAACAAAAATTCAGCCACTCCCCAAAGTAGTATATCTTCAAAGTCACCGCATCCATCTAGTGGCAGCATGGATCAACAGAATAAACAAGGCAGAAATACTCCAAAAGTCAGCAGGTATATTACTTTATTGTATGTGTTTTTAATTGGTGTAAGCTAGCTCATCAGTAGACCACTCTTATTTAAAGCTAAGAATAAGGTTTAATTCTATTCCGAAGTAGAAGGCGGTCCCGAGCTAAGTGACTTACGGGCCACACTAACAATAAACTCTCATATTGAGGCGAGGGCCACAAAATATCGTCCTGCGCACCGCAATTGGCTCCCGGGCCGCGAGTTTTAGATCCCTGATTTAAATATTTATGCCCGTGGAGAGGAAAGTCAATAAGACGGCTTCATCATCGTCCAGTCCAGGTTGCGCATGGGAATAGTCAGCCAGTTTTTTGTTTCAGACGTGTGGACTTGATGATGAAGGAACAACCATACCGGGAGTAGGGTTTCCATCTTTATTCCAGGGTAAATGTATGCCGTGAAATGCCTTAATCGCATTAAAAGGGCACTCCTGTAGTATGTGCCATAAGATGGCGGACACTTGAACATGGTCTGTGTACTGGATTGAGGTTAGGCCATAATTTTATTCCAATTAGTTCTATTACGTCTTCAGGGACTAACCAAGTGACTCTCGTAGTATTTGTACCTGAAATTATGGCCCAACCCTAACCTGGTACACATACGACATTCAGTTGTCCGACATCTTGTTGCACACACTACGGGAGTACCGAGGAAAGAGGTTGAATCTTGCGGGGGATGATTATGTGCGAGAGGATTGCTGGGCTCCTCGACATCGTAGGGTGGTTCGCGTAACCGCTGGTTGGTTTATATGTTATTATATGTGCAAAACTTGGATCACACTAAAAATTCGGCTTATACACGCATGACTCAATATTTTATAAATTAATACTGTAAACTTAAACTAAACGATATTATCATTGATGATGCCAGGCTAACAATAAACTTTACCCCCAGTTTGGGAACCACTGCTCTATTCGCTTCTAAACAATTTTATTTTTTCGTTTTCAAGAAATCTCGCTGCAGACTTCAAATCTTCAAGAGAAGGAAAACAGAGCAACAACACAAACACCGCGGCACCCGATACGCAAGGACATCGCGAAGTTACCCCCCGGAACAATAAAAACTTGAATTTGAAGAAAGAATTGTCAGGGGATTCCCCAGCAACAGGTATTTTCATTTTAGGAGAGAGATGGAAAAGAAAAATTGATCCTTTTATAATGTGAGATCTACTCACTATAGCAGAGCTACTCAACTGGTGGACTGGTGTCCGAATCCGGACCTTCCGAGTATTTGATTCAGACCGCACCTAATTCTTTATTTTAGATCGCAACCCCCACTTTTGAAGTTTCCTTTTATAAATGGATTTTTATAGTTTTGAATATACATGAAAAGAACTATAACACCATAATAAATAATCTCGATTATCTAATAATCATTAGCCGGTCGATGAAGTGTGCTTTTAAGGATGCCGAAATATAATTTCTGGAAAGACCGGACCCAAATAATTTTGAAGTTCTGTATGCGGATCTTTGGTAAAAATAGTTGAGTAGCACTGGGCTAGTGCATGAAGTGTGCTATTGTAATTTTCCATCTTGAATAAATAACGCTTAGTTCTATACGTTTAACTAGATAGCGATCGGAGACTGCCGACTTATCGATCTGCGGTTTTGATTCCTTCGCGCTGACTCACTAGAGAAACCGCGTTTCCCATCACTAAATAATTAATACCTCGCTAAAATACGGTATTCATATTGATATTGCATAAAAAAAATCATAAAATTCAACACTAGAAAATGCTGCTCAACCGAAAACTGTGTTGACTGCTAAAATTATTCGTAACACTTGAAACTTACCCAGGATCCATTCAAACTCTACAAGAAGTCGAGACCCAGCTGATAGAGGAAAGGAGAGCTCATGAGAAGAATAGCAGACCAAAACCCGGGGATAATTTGAATCATCTCATACCAAGGCAAAGTACCAGTGCTGAAGGTACGGCATTTTTATATTTATGTATATTCGCTAGAAGTGGGTTAACCACTGAGACTCTATCTAAGACAGTGGTTCTCAACCTTTTACTGACTGCGTACAACTTTACTGTTTTATACCCTTGCCGCGTACCACCGACAAAGCCCCCTTTTCGAGTTGAGAAACAAGAACACAAAAAACGTGCTATGGAAGTGTTTTATAATGGGGTACGACATTCTTTGGTATGCAACACGCAAAACGAACGAGGGTGATCTGTAAAAAAAGGATCGGTAGCGCTATAAACGCCGTTCAGTGAATTCATACAGTATGGAAGATGAAGAGAAACGTTGACATCATACTTTAGCCAACTCAAAAGTTAATTGTTGCAATAATTCAGAGCTGCTTGCGTACTAATTGTATAGTTTCTGCGTGCCACTAGTAGTGTGTGTACCACAGGTTGAGAACAACTGCTTTAAGATCTGTCATAGGTTGCTGAATTTAAGATCTTCCACTGAAAGTTTAAAAAATTATTGCGGAAGATTTGTAACTTACAACTGACTTGAAAGTAGCCTATATTGATTTATCTGCTGGCTTGCTCTAATCAAGATTCCAAATCTAGGATTTTATTCATTTCTCGTTAGACGCCTTTTGTTGAAATCATATTATAAAGTTCTTTAATTTCAATTTATTTTTTGCAGAAATTCATCAACGCCCCACTGTTCTGCACGGCTACCCTCCTTCTCCCAATGTACCCCCATTTTCAATGTCCCCCCTATCGCCTCCTAATTTTGGGGGTATGTATAACCACGCCCCTTTTTCTACTTCCCCACGAAACAACAACCAGAATCCTTTTAATTTTGCTCGAACTCCCCCTAACCAGGGGGGTTACAATTACCTCTATTCACGAAGTCCAGGAGATATGAACCCCTTTGCATATGGGGTTTCTCCACCAAGCCCAGGATACGGATTTAACGCCCCATTTGGAAATCACCAAGGTCAAAAAGTCATGACCCATGACCCCAACGGAAGTCACATATCAAGTCAGACGTTCGTGAACACGAATGAGAAAAACACACCACATGGTGGCAGAGAAGTGCACTATAACGCTTCACATAGCGCTCCTCCCTTTTTTGGGGTGAATCCCCATCATTCTTACCCCCCAAATAGGCCCCTCCCTCAACAAGGACATTACTGGACCCCTAATCAGAGAAAATAAGAAAAATGATTCAATTTTAGTTAACTTAGTATTGTTAGTTCTTATACAGTATTTTATGTGTTAACTTGATCGAGATATGGAATTCTAAAACGCTGTGTGAAATTGTAGGAATTTCAGCTGTAACTGTTAAATTTATTTATTAAATTGATTATTATCAAAAAATAAAGGGGGGGGGGGGGGACGTAGGATAAAAGATATCATTGTATATCAGATAAAGCCTTGTTCTGATAGAAAATGTAAAAAATATGTGGACTTGGATGTAGCAGAATGTCAATTTTTATTTACCAAATAGATAAATTGTATCACTTGATCATGGGCTTGCTAGAAATGAGAAACGCTCTTGAAATGGTGCTGGGCTGTAGAAATAGAGAGTTTATTCAAAAAGCCATATTTCCAGAGGGGGTGGGGGGCGAACTGAATTTCCTGAAAATAGGTTATCTCTATTTTTTTTATCTAAACTTATCTAAAAAATGAAGACTGTAATTTGGTTGCAGATATTTGCATTATGGATGTAAATTCTATTCTAAACTTTGTTATTGAATATTGGAACTGATAGTGGTATGGTTGTTAATCTGGGTAACTTTTCTTGCATTGCGCCAGTGGTCCTCGACCCGTGATACAATTTATTATGGCCTGCCGAAGAGTGAAAAAGATTAACACTTTGTTTTTTTGGGGTTCTGTTGTCATTATCACAGGTTAGGCATGTGTATGTTTGTAGAAATCCGGTGCCTTAATTATACATCCGGAAACATACTGCTCATGATGGCACTCTCCAACCAACGTCCTATCTGGGAATTTCATTTGAAAGTAGATTTAAAAAGTAGGATAGGATTCACATATATCTTGTGGGAGAGGAAAGCCAATAACACTGTATGTTATATAAACAATGCTAAACTCTTACGCCTAAGCAGGATTCAAAATTTCTGATCAGGTTTTTGTTTAATCTAGATCAGACCTTAGACCCTGGGCGTAAGAATTATTTTATGGTCTGGATATATCTTAATTGTGGAGGCGATTGAGTTCCCACAGCCCCAACATTTTTGTGATTCTAATATTTAGCACTGTAATAAGACTGAAAAAAGAAAACAAAGATCAAGCCATTAATATTGTGATTCTGATCAATAGCATCTCACTATAATGTTTTATTTTGAGAGAATTCAATTTTCCAAGTTGATATTTGACCTTTGACCCCATGCTTAGATTTATTTTATGGTTGAGGATATATTTTAGTTTTGTCATTTGAATGTGAAAATGCGATTTTTTCCTTATTTTATTTTGGTATGTTATTTTAGCAAATCTTAATGTTTTGACTAATTTTTTTCTCAAACAACTTGATTTTAACATTTTAAAATATCAGAAATACAATCCGTGACGTCAATCTTTCTGTTTGTATTTGCATAGATGGGGGTAGAGAGTATTTTCATGTTTATCCAGCGGGGAAAAGATTAGTATTGATGCTGAGGTGAATGTTGTCAATACATATCCTTGTCTCTATTCTAAACTGACGCTGATAGAGGGGAATTGCATATTTATCCACAGGAGGACAAATTGATAAGACTATTTAATCATATTGAGGAGATTATCTGTACATTTACCAGTCCGGCTTTAGTTTGGTAACGTTATCGTGGGCGACAGGATTGCAAGCGTATTTCTTAGAGGCAAAAAAGAAACAGGGCTATGAACTCGGCGCTCCCGAAGTATGTGTACCAAGAAGGCGCTCAACCTGAACATAGTATATGATGTTAGTATTCAAGTACGTCATCTTGGTACACATACTTCGGGAGCGCCATGAATTCTGCATAGGGATGGAATTTACATATTTATCCCAGGGGTGGTAAAAGACAGCTTAATCATATGGCAAACCACAGCCTCTCATGGTTACCAGTCCTTGTCTGGGATTAGTTAGCCAGTTATTTGTTCCAGATGCATGGAAATGCAGCCGTAACAGACCGGCTGTGGTGACAAGGAGTTCAATAATCCTCTTGCAGAAAATTATCGCCCACATGATCCAAACCTGCGATAGTGTTAAGCTAGCATGATGCGCCATAACGTCGAGCTTGAAACTAAACTAAGCCCTCAATAAAAGCTGATTTAAATCAAGCAACACACAAGTTCAATACACGAATTTCAAGATTGTTTTTCATAATATTAATAATGCAGTTGAAGTGGAACACTGATAGACTTCATATAACCGAATACTACAAGGCTTACCATATCGAACAAAAAAGTGGGACAGTGCAAATTGAAGAAACTTGCGTTAATTCAACTAGTTGAAAAACAGTGATAAATGTACACCCCCATTAGCAGAAAAATACTGTTTATGACTGCCAATGCAGCATGACCAGTACACAGTATTAAAATCGGGACGGTTCCAGCTAAACAGGGATGTATGTTAAGCCTACTTATTCATAGCAAAACATGCACATCCAGTAAGAAGCAAACGAATTATGCCAAGAGTACACAGACTGTTCCAACTACAGAGTCGTTCAAGCAATGGTTTGTTTTACATTCATTTAGATATAATGATATAAAGTGTGAATCTATCGGACATTTGTGTATAGTTGGGAATGAATATGGGGGAAAACAATTTGACGCAAAGCACTTAGTCTTTCACGGAACATTAGTGAAACACAATTATCATATTAATATATTATACCAGTGTTGTATTTGATCACATTTGAACAAAATGCATAAATGATAATATACTCTGATTTCAAAGCAAACTTGTTCAAACAATATACATATAACAATATAGAGACTTAGGGGATTTGAAACACTGCCAAAGTATATTCCTAAAACATTTGTGCGAGTTCATGTTCAACGAGAGACGACAATCCAAGAGACTATTATAATCGAAAAAAATGTAAAATACTTTATCATATAGTTAATAGATTGAATGTAAACATGGTATGACGCATAAAGAGATATGATAGAAAAACAGAAATGATAGTTTAACAGAGGATCAAAATCTCGTCCTATTTTGTTGTACTAACAAATGAAAATTTTCCCTGATTTCATAGTGATACCAATTCGCTGGATGAGAACAGAAACAGGCCTAATTCACAATTTTGAGTTTTGAGAAAACGCAAAAAACAATTTGGAATTTTTTATTTTTGGATTTCTAGATATTCACACTTAGTAAAGACCCGAGCTCTGGTTATTTTATTGTGGATGTGAATATCTTTGTAATCAATATTTTTTGGCACTTCAGCTTCAATTCCTTCCTGCTTTTTTACCCCCACAAAGGATTTTGGCCCATTCTGTTCTCAACAACTTTTTAAATTTTTTGTATGGGATGCAAGGTAAAAACAAGGTGACTTAGGCCTAAGTTGCCACTGAACAAATTTTTAGGGATGTAAGTTTCGAAACATTTCATTTCTGATGTTCATGCCCATCATATTGGAACTTAGGACTATCTTTTTCAATTTTTGGGTTTGAGCCATGCTCTACAAGGCGGTCTTGAGAATCCTGAATTTCTCAATAATAAAATTTTAGCTGGACTTAGGGCCATTCTGTTTTTTAACTTCTACAAAATATTATAGTCCTTAGTCAAGCTAAATTTTTTATTGAGAAATTCAGGATTTCAAGAATACCACCTTGTAGAGCATGGCTCAAAACCCCAAAATATTGAAAAAAGTCAATTTTCCAAAAATATGACTTGGGCCCCTTCTGTTCTCATCCGGCGAATTGTAAGTTTAAATAAATTTTTATGAATGCAAATGAGAACTACAAGCATAAATAAAACAAAGGAAAATAAATTTTTAATTGTAATCACAATAAAAGCGAGCGAATTTATTTGAGCATCCTGTATAGAAGCCACTTTATGCATCAGTGGCTTGGGCGCTTCTAAATTTTGTGCACCAATATGACACACAACCTGAACCTTAACCCAGTACACATACTATGTTCAGGTTATGCGCCAAACTTGGTGCACATACTACGGAGTACCGTGGCTTGTTCTGAGCAAATATGTTGAAAAAATAAAAAAAAACACAGGGTACAATAATGGAATTCATAATTTTCATTCAACTTGACCTTTCACATATGAACTCTTGACCTCTCAATGAATATTTTTCCCTGGGTAATGCTTCCTTGATACTTCCATTCAACTTGACCTTTCACACATGAACCCTTGACCCCTCGGATAACTATTTCTCCTTGATTTATACTACTACACTTGATGCTCAAAAATTTTAAGTTCCGGAGATTTTTTCGTAAAGTTGTGACACCGTTCATCGTAATATCTATCCATTCTTCGATTTCAATTGTCGTCCAATTTCGGTAATTTTTCCGCCGATTATTGCACAATCCCTGTCCCCGAGAAATGGGGAACCAATCAGAGCAAGAGTTTTCAAATTTCGAAAAAATTTTCAGCAATAACTCGGATTGCCGAACTGTCTATGCGATAACACCCATAACACTCCAATCTGAGAATAAAAAGACAAAACATTTTCAAATTTGTTAGGTGATGGTTGTACACATTGGCAGCATCGCTCAACTATTTTAGTTGGACCTACTCCATTTACCCCACCTACCTACTCGATATTTTTTTTCATTTCTATGCTGTAGTTAGCCAACTCTATATTTTAGAGGTATGAAAGGCTATTGCCTTCACTTACTAAATTAAATTAATATGAATACCAGTAAGTGTTAGGATATGAATAAGATTTACATATTTATCCCGGGGGGAGAGAAAGCCGATAAGACGGCTTATCCATGATGGCGAACACCGGCCTCTCGTCCGGTTACCATTCCGATTCGGGTATGGGATTAGGTTTGACTGCTATCTTTATTGCATTTCTGGCAAATAGCATTTCCCAGATGGCTGAGCACCTCTGATTGCCCTGCAGGTTGAATCCTGTGGGTGATAATTATGTACCGAGTGGATTACTCGACTCCTCGCTGTCGTAAGTTGGATCACGTACCCACTGTTTCAGTCACAGTTAGGGCTGGAATTTTCAAGGAGAAAACTTTAACGTTAACCGGGTAAAATTAACCGGTTAAGCGCAGACGGACGTTTGACGTCATAAGTTACAAACCAATTTCGAGTGATAATATCCCGGTATTGCTCAAAATCATTCACGAATGGAGAGTTTCAATGATCGCTCTGCTGAAAGAGATATGCAGCGTGCTTCGGACATATGGAAGTATATTGGTGAAACCCTATTCTGTTATTAAATGTCATTTATGTGACAAATTTTAAGTGTTCGATCAGCAAATTCTACTCTGAGATATCATAAAGAAAAACAGCATCAACTGCACACTTGTTGGATGACATTGAATAAGATTTTGCAATAAAATCGTGAACAATATATTCTGACCGAAATCTGATTCTGAATTTATCATTGTGAATTTCCATAGTCAGTGATATTAGCGTACTTCAATAATTTTCTACATTTTGGTGCTCACCAATACAATCAGTGATATTCTCATGAATTAAATGCCACCAGGAGATAAATTTGCCGATAAATTAATCATTTTTAAAGAAATTGTACATTATAAAGATGATTTGTACTGGAGATGTCAGTTAACGTTAAAATAAATCGTAAACCGTTCCATCATCTAAAATCGGTTAACCGGTTAATCAGTTCCCAGCCCTAGTCACAGTCTTCTTTGTCATCAAGTTCATGCAGATGAAACAAATAACTGGCCAACTAATCTTCCTGACTCACTTGAGGAAGTCGTTCGCCATATGCTTGAAGCCTTTTATCACTCCAGGATAAATACCATGAAAAACCAATCTGTGATGGCAGATATATTTGAAAAAAATGCAAAATCCATATTTTTGTCTGCCCCAAATTAGAATTTCAAGTCTGTTTTATAATTGATGCATAGATTATACATGCGTATCATTGGATGACACCAAGCTGGTACTCAGAAGTATGTGAACAAAGATGGCAACACTGGAACGTAGTATGTATACCAAGTTAGGGTTAGGCCATATTTTCATGTACAAAAACTACGAGAGTCACTTGGCTAGTTCCCGAACTCGTAATAGAACTAAAATAAGGAAATTGGAAGAAAATCATGACTTAAGCCTAACCCTATGGAGAACCCAAATCTGAATATATGTGATAATCTGTGACTGACCTTTCTAAATTTTCCAATTTCCCAAATAAAGCAAGATGTCCATCTTGTAATATCGGGCATCTTCGAAAGAGTAACGAAGCGTAACTCCGGAAACTTTTTATCAACGTTGACGAGACAATCTGTCGGAATCTCACAATTTGTGAAAGACAATCGTTGGACACTACTGGGCAGTAGACTCAAATCAATATCCTTTAAGTTGTCCTCCTCGATCTGAGATGATTTAAATTTAATTAACCATGGTAATCCCTGATTATCCCGCGGTTATGGTCTCCCCCCCTCTTTTGAAATGTAAAAAAAAAGCATTGAAATTCTGTTTGCCAAGTTGGTTGAACCTCAGGTCCAGCCGAACACCGGAATAAGTGTGTTTTGATGCTATGTATGATATAGTAAGATGCTTTTAATTTTTTTTCCATTTTAAAAGGGGGGTTTCGACCCCCAAAACCACCCCGCCTGGCTTCAGGTCCTGCGCCCATCGGTATATACTAGCTCCTAATGACCTCCATAATTCTATATAGTTTCAGTAACGCTCGGCACTTTAGTGGTCGCCTCTGACTTTGCTGAGAGTTGGAGTCTCCTCCACTTACGAGTGAGTGCATGTAACTTTGCTCAGATTGATTAGTCTTTTCTACTTCTGAGTGAGTGCCGATAACTTTGCTCCTGAGATGAGTCTCCTTTATTTCTGAGTGAGTGCCGATAACTTTGCTCTGAGATGAGTGTCCTTTACTTCTGAGTGAATGCCCATGAATTTGCTTGGATGAGTCTCCTTTATTTTTGAGTGAGTGCCGATAACTTTGCTCTGAGATGAGTCTGCATTATTTCTTAGCGAGTGCCTGTAACTTTGCTCAGAGATGAGTTTCCATTATTTCTTAGCGAGAGCGTCAGCAAATTTTTATATGGATTCAGTAGCCAACAGAACAAATGAGAAAACTAACCATAAATTCTCGTAGCTTTGGTGACATTTTCCCAATAAAGACAAAACATTATTGGATAACGAAACCGTGCTGCTCATATGCCGTCGCCGCCTCCAAACACCACCACAAACATCGAGTGATGTTGTAGACTCTGTGAAATATCGACGGACTATTTTCGCAAGCGTGGTTTTTAAAATTGGATGAGGGGTTATTTTAACCTTCTTCCATAACCAATAATCGCATGCTACACGTTGCCACCGTTTGCTGACCCTGCAAAAAAGAATCTGGTCAGTGTGGAGCAGAGAGAGAGAGAGAGATTTTATTTGCACTAAACAATGTCAAAAAAGGACAATAGTACAGATTTCAATTAAACTACAGTGCAGTGAATATTTAAACATTGAATCATGATGGTCAGTATGCAAGACCTTTGCAGGTCACCTAGCTCCTGACCATTTTATTTACGCTGTGGTCAAACTGTCAGTATGAATTATCACAATATGAAACTATAAAATAAAGACATAAAATGAGTCGGCTGATAAAAATAATTTTTTCTACTATACAACAGTTTACATCAGATTAAGTTCAGAGGGCATGTGTAAAATTGTATATATATATTATATATTAGAAGTCTCTAATGCTCTGGTCAGGTTTCCTCGACGATTAGTCAAGGCTGAGTTTGACTATCCTGATGAATGAACTAGTCAAGTCTTTGAAAAAGGTAAATCGTGTCTTTAAAATTGAAGATGGGACCACTGCACCTGTTGGAATGGTGGTCGTTTGTGGAAATTCCATATGATGTTGGAAGCATTGGAACGGATACAATGATTTTAAATTGAATAATTGAAAACAACAACAGAACCCGATACCCCAATCCATGATTTGTGCATAGACTGCTATAGAACATTCAATCTGTTTACCAAGCTTGTTTTTTATGTAACAATTTCTT